AACCCTAACAAAGTTAAACCTTTCTTACAAATGGCGTTTGACCCACAATTGAGTTTGGGTTCTCCCTCACTCTACGAGTCTACGGTTACTTAGTCATAGGCAACCTCGGTTCTTAGCCCAACCCAATCACACTAATCATTGACCACTATTATTAATGGGTGGCTAATGAGCGCGATACGTAATATCCATTATGTCTGAGAGTTCTTTTGATTTGGACTTAGGTTACAACTTTAATTGTTAACCGTATTAATGAGAAAACTTACAAAGTATGTAAACACATATTTTGGTTTAAATATTTGCATACTATTCTTACAAGTTAAAAAAAAAAAGGCAATTAACATTATTGAGAATTATAAGTAAATAAATATTTTAGAAGGTATAATTGTTCAAATACTAGTTGTAAGAGTTATGTCAAGCTTTTTATAAGGCATGGTTATTCATTATTAATGAAATAATTAGTTTTTGAAGTCGAACAATTTAGTGGTAGGTATTGTTTACACAAATTATATAAAAAAATAAATAATAAAAAATTTACATGTAATATGATATAGTTCAATGGTTAAGTGTTTAGTGTTAAAACTAGTGATCATAAACTCGCTAGCTTAAGAATATAATTTTTTTACGACCAGGATGTCCTAAACATGGTTACACCCTTGAGAGAAACACTTGGCCACTCTTCTTTCAATGACATTCATCATACTTTGGGCATCGAATACAAACTTGATAAAAATCACAAAAACAAGCAAGCACATAAAAATAAAATAAGAATGTATGATTGATTGTACCATATATGATTCAATTACAAACAATGTCATGAATTATTTAATTCATTTTTAATGTATGTAAATATTTAATTTAATTTAATGTTATAAAGATTGTGGCTGTTAAATCTAGCTTCTTTTGTTTTAAGCCATAATCATATGCTCTTTATCTTTTACTGGTAGTTGTAATTGTAATTGTATTTATAATTTTATATTGCTTCTTAGTCATGTTAGGATATAGACCATATAGTATTAGAAAATAAAAATTGTCACACCCGTGACTACATAATGCTAGCTTGGGATTATAATTGCAAACAGATTACAAATTTGTATACAGTATTATTAAAATCACAAAACAACAACCAAAACAAAATAAACTACAAGTATATAATGCCAATGCCAAACTTTAGCTTAGCATGTGAACTATACAATTTTCCAAAGCCAACCTCCAAATTTCATTTTAAGACGCAAATAAGAAAGAAGAGCTACTTGTAACAGAGCACGTGAATCCATATTTCAGTCACAAGAGCATAGTAGAACACCACTCACTGTTTTCAGTTATACCCCAGGCTCCAGCCAAAACATATTAAACACCCCATTATTCGAGAACGTTGTACTGTCTTGCGTGCATCGGGTGCACAATACAATTGTAGTAAGTCAATTTTGAATATACGTGTTATGAGCTAGATTTTTATGTTTAAAACTGAATGTGTTATGAATATACGTGTATGTATTAGTGTTACCTTGTTAGTCGTTACACCGTATATGAATGAAAAAGTTTACTCAAATTATTAAAAACCGACTTTTAAAAATAGGGTGTACAATTAAGAATGTGTTGCGTAGATTTTTTGTGAAACAACCAACATATTCAACTCCGCCACTTCCAGCTATAAAACTTCAGAAACATAGATTAGAAAAATACAGAAGCAGCTATAAAGACACACACAGACAGAGAGAAAGAGAGAGAGCACCTAATATTCTTCTAGAGACTAGAGCTCAATGAAGAAACAAGGTTGTGAGATTGAAGCACTAGGCATAACTTACAAAATCTACAGTCATAACAAGGAAAACCCATTTAGCATCTTCAAGAAAGAGACTGATCAGCAAGGTCATCAAGCAACATCATCTTCAGGCGTGAGAACAGTGCTAAACCAGGTGAATTGCAGAGCAAAGCCATGGGAAATCCTCGCTATCGTGGGGCCGAGTGGTGCAGGAAAATCTTCCTTGCTTGAAATACTAGCAGGCAAGCTCACCCCACAAGCAGGTTCAATTCTCATTAATGGCAATGTCACTGAAACAGCCAACTTTAACAAGATTTCAGGGTTTGTTACTCAGAAGGACATGCTGTTCCCGCTCCTTACTGTCGAGGAAACACTGATGTTTAGTGCAAAATTAAGGCTGAAACTCCCGCCTTCGGAATTAAGCTCCAAGGTGAAGTCATTAATGCAAGAGCTAGGACTTGATCATGTGGCAAATACCAGGGTGGGAAATGATGGGATACGCGGAATATCTGGAGGAGAGCGCAGGAGAGTCTCCATTGGTGTTGATGTGATCCATGACCCTAAGGTGCTAATCCTGGATGAGCCAACATCAGGGCTAGACAGTACCTCAGCACTGCAGATCATTGACATGTTAAAAAATATGGCAGAAACTAGGGGTCGAACAATCATTTTGAGCATCCATCAACCTGGTTTTCGCATTGTGAAGCAGATTAATTCAATCCTGTTATTATCAAATGGCACAGTTCTGCACCATGGTACAGTTGATCGGCTTGGGTCCAAACTCAGACTAATGGGGCTTGAACTCCTCCCTCATTGTAACGTCGTAGAATTTGCAATTGATTACCTGGAAACAATCCAACAACAACAAGAGGAAGAAATTTCAGCTTCATCACTGCAACAAGCAGCTCCTGCAGCTGCCCCACAGCAGAGGAGAAAGACCCTTCAACAGCTCTTTCAGCAATCTAAGGTGATGGATGAAGAGAGTGCATATATGGGAATTGAGCTTGAAACCCACAATTTTGCTAATTCCAGGTTGGGGGAAATAATTATCCTAAGTCACAGATTTTCTAAGCTTGTTCTCAGGACAAAAGAGCTGTTTGCCTGCAGGACCCTGCAGATGCTGGTTTCAGGGCTGGTGTTAGGTTCCATATTCTATAATCTTAAGCATAATTTGGAAGGGGCATTTGAAAGGGTTGGATTATTCGCATTTATCTTAACATTTTTGCTGACCTGCACCACAGAAGCACTGCCTATTTTCCTGCAGGAGAGAGACATACTAATGAAGGAAACCTCCTCAGGGAGCTATCGAGTCTCTTCTTATGTCATTGCGAATGCCATAGTGTACCTCCCATTTTTGCTCATCCTAGCCATTTTGTTCACAGTTCCAGTGTATTGGTTAGTGGGTCTAAAGCCGGAGTTCATGGCATTCGCACACTTCTTGCTGCTCATATGGTTAATCCTCTACACTGCTAATTCAGTTGTGGTGTGTTTCAGTGCACTGGTGCCAAATTTTATAGTTGGAAACTCTTTAATTTCTGGTGTGATGGGATCGTTTTTTTCTGTTCTCAGGCTACTTTATATCAAAGAAGCAAATCCCAAAATATTGGATTGGGATGCATTATCTGTCCTTGTTTAAGTACCCTTATGAAGGGTTCTTAATCAACGAATTTTCGGGGTCAACAGAGTGTTTGGAGAGCATGTTTGGGATGTGTGTGATGAGTGGGAAGGATGTCCTAAAGGAGGAAGGCTTAGGTGAGCAGAATAGGTGGATGAATGTGTTGATTACAGTGTGCTTCATTTTTCTGTACAGGTTCATATCTTATGTCATTCTCAGATGTAAATGCTCCAAAAGGACTTTCAAGGGTGCCCTTGTTTGAAAATGGTAATCTCTTTACCTTTGTCTTTCTCTATACATCAAAACAATCAGTCCTTACATCCAGCAAAGTCATAATTGTATAGGGTCTTGATACTTCAATTAATTTTCTTTCGAAGATGTTAGCAGAGCAATGATATCAAGAATCCCCCTCCCCCATTTGTAATTTGTAATGCTCTTGTGGTTCATTCGAACCCAAAAACAGAAATTGAAAATATCAGGAAGCTAAGTTTTCCTAGATAAACATCATTTTCCCACATTTTAATTATTTATTTTTTGGCATATTATTAGGTGAACTTTTTTTATTCGGGAAATTATAAAGTGTGAGTATGTGTTCGTAAGTGATATAATAGCAATCTAGGGATGAACACAAATGTGGACCATTCCTTCGTCAAATTGTTGCCGCATAATTTCGGTGCATATGTTCCCTGGTGCACTTAAAGACTAACAATTCTTAGTGATGAAGTGATCTAACAACTCTAATTGACAGGTTATGAAAGACTACAAATAGCTATCAGATTGAATACACATTATAATTAGCATTCACAACTTTATGAAAAGGAAAATAAGGGGCTAAATGTTTATTTGAAAAATAATCTTTTATGATCAAAATAGAAAGAGAGAAATAACAATGCTGTGTCTTTTCTAAAGAATAGATGGAGTACATAACAACAGTTCTTTCCCTTAGAAATTATCTTGCAAACAACAAAACAAACCAGACTGTTTCTATTTGAGCAATATTTAAGTTTTTTCTATGTCCAAGGCATTACTCTAACCTTTTCTTTTTGCTCCTGTCCCTCTTTGTCTCATGCACCTAATAGGTTTGCTGTATAAGGTGAAACTCTAAAAGAAACCAGAGGCCAAAGGAAGGGAAAAATGAGGCTGAGAGCGCCTACAACTCAAGGAGTTGTGGCCCACCAGATCACACAAGTAAACAAATTTACAGCAAAAAAACCATCACAGTCTCATGTGAAGACTCTACTTATTAACGGAATCATCTTCAATATCACATGGTAACTAATTAACTAATGATGAAGAGGATTGTTTGGGTTTTGCAAGTGGTGTTAAAAAAAGAAGCTTAAAGTTCAGTGGTTTGGTTCCAGTAGTTTTCTTGGGTGCTAATTTTGTTGCTTATGTTGTTTTGCTCTTATTTTATTTTAGAAATTGTGTATTTACAGTGCAAGCTTTGTATTTTGATCTTTTTCAATGTAGCCAGTTAAGCTACTGGTATCAGGAACCATTTTTATCTGAACTATAATCATACTGTAATAACAATTATACTGCATCACACTGCTCATTAACTTAGAGTAACATTTTACGAAGTATTTATATAGTCCCCTAATTTCTGTGTGCTTATCCGGTTCCACATCAGGTAGTCCAAGACTCCAAGTTGGCTATTGTACTAGTCAGTACTGAAAGGTACCTAATGACAGAAAAAATATAAAAAATAGAAATTTATGTTTTCAAGAAATGATCACTCTATAGTAAATTAAATTTTTTATAATTGTATCTGCCACAGCAGAAGTTTAGATCTTCCATTAATTTAAGCAATTAAGCATCTGATTCATAAATACTTGTAAATTTCCACTGTACATCAATCTAACTCCAAAAGCAGCGTACTCCTTAGTCCCACCCTTTTTTTTACCAACTTATAGAAAACTGTTGATTCTAAGAGAAATGAAATGAAAGTGTAAGAAAAAGGTGAATGAATAAGAGAATCGTAAAATGACAGATGGAGTGGGTCAATAACAACAAAGCCTTAGTCCCAAAATGAATTGGGGTGGGTCAAAAAAAAATGAGTATGTTGATTCAACTTTTACTAGGAAGCCATTCAATAATCAATGCTTTAAGGCACTCGAGTTCATATCCTATGATGCATGATTAAACCAGCATGCCAAATCTAGTGATATTTCAACTTTTTTAAAAAGAGGTAGAGGACCTTATTTAGTTCCTGAAATTGTCTTAACTCATGTTAATATGTTCCACAGAAAGACTGAAAATAAAAAAAGGAAAGAGTAAAAATGAAGAAATATAGTTTGTGAACCACTTTTGCTACTTTGTTTAGATACACTTCTCTCTTTTCCTCTATTCTTCTTTTAATCACTAGAAGCACATCATACCTAAATAGAGGTTCACGAGCAAGGAAATGTGTGGCTCATAAGCCATTACTTCATTTTAGTTTTGTCTTCTTTAAAATATCGTGACAGCTTTGGCACATATTAGAATCATCTCTTGTCCTCATATATTGGTTTTCCTAAAGCAGGTAAAAAAACTAGGGTCCACAAGTTTGGAAGCTCTAAAATGATGTTCAGTGAAAGGTACTGATCTTAATAATTTCATGTATTTCATCTCATTAGTACACTAAAAAATTCTTCATAGCAATATGAATAGATGAACAAAACAAAACTATCTAAATCAAAAGTGTTTACTACACTTGCTTATTAAGATTAGTGATAGAATACGACTATTCATAGAAACAATCCAACAATGAAAAAAAAACCAATATTATTGTGAGCCTTATATATGCTACACAACAAAGCATTAGTGTCAATTGTATATGGAGTATAACTAGATATACCTCTAATAAATCAAGAAACTACAATAAGGAAACCCTTATTCTTATTTGAAGCAACAAAGTTTAACCAGAAGAATCAGCTTACCAGACTATCAAGATACAAAGAATTACGAAGCATATTTTGGACATTGAATGAATGATCAAGAAAGATGCAATGACATGCTCTTAACTTACCATGGTTCAGATGATCTCCATGCTTTATGCTGAAAAATCAACATCCCAAATGGAGGTATCTGCAATCAGATGATTCCATGTAACTGAATTTCATTGTTTTTTGTTAGTCAGTAAAAAATAATGGTCATTAATAACCGTAATACAACATCTAAAATATTGTCTCTAGCACATGAAATTTACTTCTAAATGATTTTCATTCTTCAACAGAAATGCTTAAATTGCACGGAAAAACTATAAGATGAAAAAAAAATTAGACAAAGCGGCAGATGCCAAGACTAAAAACCCTATCTACAAGTTTGTACACAAGTCATGGCAGAATATCTTTTTTAGGTCACTAATCACACCTTTAATACACCCATATAGGTGATTTAACCAAACATAGCTCATGCATATGTCATATAAACTGTATTGTAAAATTGGATTCTATACACCACCATTCACCTTATAGCTCATATATATACATGTCTAATTGACCAACCAATTCCAATGCTCATGTTGCCTGCAACTTTGAACAAGTAGAACCAATAACTACCAGATTTCTATTAAAAGTTTAGTGTACTATGCATTGATGTTGTGCAACTGGGTGCATAACTTTTGAAATCAATATTTTTCTTAAGTCAACAGAACCAGCAGATGGAGGAATTTTGTCCTGACAATATGAAATCCTAAACTCCACTTTTAATAAAAGAATTGATATCAAGAAGATGCTGAACTCTCACAGGCAAGCTAAGCCTAGCTCTTGATTTTCTTAAATTGTGTTACAGTGACACATCTTGACATTACTAAAAGCAAATGCAGCTCTTTAGGAAAAAGGTGGGATGAATACAGTAAGTTACCTACCCAAAGATAATAATCCACACCGTTCTATTCTTATTTAGTTATTTTCCAGTTCTCAAGTATCCCAATGAATTTTGCTAATATCTATAGAGTATTAATAAATCCCTGATAGAAAGAGAAAATGCAAGAAACAAAGAGCTATAATAGATCTAATTTCAACCATTTGGTTAGTAGTTAGAATAAGGATGTGAAGTAGGCATAGAAGTTCAACTAACAATAGGAAGAAACATGTAACAGGTCTCCAATACTTGGGATGACACAGCATTTAGAGCATGGAAATGGCAAGCAAATCATATAAAAATACTACTACCTCCGTCCCCGAAAGAACGACCCTTTTGGGCTGATTTCGCGGGTATTAAGAAAATGAAAAAGATAGTATTAAAAGTACATTGGAAAATGAAATTCACATGGGGTTTGCAAAAAAGTAGAGAGAGAAAGTAATAAAAGTACATGGAAAAACAAAATTTACATGGAAAAGCTAACTTTGCACAAATATTGTTGCAAATTGGAGAGTATTTTAATGCAAATGGGATGATCATTTTGGGACTAGATTTAGGCCATAAGGGTCATTCTTTCGGGGACGGAGGGAGTACTAGATTATTTAGTTTCCAGCATAAAGAAGCATTAAAATATTTAACCACAAAATACACTATGATTAAAATTAAAGCATATGGCATATCACAAGAGGCTCACCCAAAGCCAGCAGCTAGTTATATATCCATTGAATGATATGAAGCAGCTTCATAACTGATTTCTTCCTCATCAATCTCTGAATCAATAGGGTCAGGAAAATATCCAGCTAGTTTGATTTGTTTGGTTAGATTTTTCAACACCGAGTAAATCTCTTTATTCTGTGGGTGACTTTTGTCTTTAACCATAAACACATTTACATGGCTTTGTATTTCAATCCAGCTACAACCAGGCTGCTTAACAACTCCCTTCTGTATCATAAGCTTCCGAACACTAGTGACATCCGTCCACCTTCCAAGTTCTGCATACATGTTTGAGAGAAGAACATAAGGACCAGAATTAGTAGGATCGATTCCCAATAGCCTCTCTGCCACGTACTTCCCCATGTCAACATTTCTATGAACCTTGCAAGCAGAAAGCAGAGAAGCCCATACAACATAATCAGGCTGAATTGGCATAGTTTCAATTAAATCTATTGCTTCATCGAAGCAACCAGCTCGACCAAGCAGATCAACCATACATGTGTAATGGTCCTTCCATGGTTCCAAACCATGCGACTTAAACATTGACCGGAAATAGTGGCGACCCTCTTCCACCAAACCAGCATGACTACAAGCACACAAAACTCCAATCATTGTTATGTGATCAGGTTTCTCACCAGATATTATCATCTTCTTGAACATCTCAAGAGCTTCAATCTCATGTCCATTTTGAGCATAACCTACAATCATTGAATTCCATGAAACATGATCTCTTTCAACCATATACTTGAAAACCAGCAATGCATCTTCAACCGACCCACATTTCATGTACAAGTCTATAAGAGCATTCCCCACAAAGATGTCACACTCTGGTCTAGAACGAAAGCAAAATCCATGTTTCAACAAATGTACATGAGCCTGCATGCCAAGATTCAGGTCTGCAAGATTTGCACAAGCATTGAGGAGATTCCCAAAAGTATAATGAGTGGGCAAAACAGACTCCCTCTTCAATAAGCGAAACAAGCTCAATGCCTTCTCATTTTCTCCATTTTGAGCATAACCTGCCATAAGTGCATTCCAGGATACTATGTTCTTATCCATCATATTCATAAACAAAAAGTTTGCAGTCTCCACATTTGCTGCTTTCGCATAACCACTCACCATAGTTGTCTCAGATATCACATTTCTTGATGGCATACTTTGAAAGATGAATTTGGCTTCATTAATTCTACCACATTTTGCATACATATCAACCAATGCATTACTTAAGATCAGGTCATTCCTATACTTATCCTTTTTCACAACCAAAGCATGAATTTCCCTACCTTCCCTAACTAATGTTAACGTTGCACAAGCACTAACCACACTTGCCAGTGTAACTTCATCCGGATCCACCCCATGATCCATCATATTTGCAAATACCTCTACAGCTTCACTCACAGGACCATTTTGTTCATAACATGTAATCAAACTATTCCATGTCACCCGGTTCCTATCAACCATCCCATCGAAAACCTTTCGGGCACATTCCACTTCACCACACTTAGCATACATATCAACAAGTGCAGACCCCATATACACATCCTTCAAAAACGGAGACTTCAACATCAAGGCATGAACTTGAATCCCCATATCCAAATCCACTAACCCAGCACAAGCACTAAGCACACTACCAAATGAGTACTGATTCAGCACAAAACCCTCTCTGTGCATCCCCACAAAATACTCCACCGCCTCTTCAAACCGATCATGCTGAGCAAACCCGGATACCATCGAATTCCAGGAACACTGATCACGCTCAGGGATATCCAAAAACACATCAACAGCTTCATCAAGAAAACCCCACCTCGTTAAAGCACTTAAAACTGAATTATAAGTAAAAATGTTTCTGTGAGGCATTTTATCGAACAGTTTACGTGCACCCTCAACAAACCCACATTTACCATACATATCAACCAGCCTATTCTGAATAAAAATCTCAGATACAAACTGGGATTTAAGAATTCGAGCATGAACACAACGGCCATGGCGTACAGAGTTTGATCGAATGCACCAATCCAATAACTTGGCAAAAGGTGATGAATTTGAGAAAGATAGGGTTTCAAAATCTTGCTTAACAAGCACATTTCTTGCCATCCCATACTTCAAATGTTGTAACAATTTAAATTCAAAGTTGGCTCCTTTTTAATCTTAAGAAGCTGCAACTGTAAGTGAAGCTTTCTGGGTTTGGCAATTAGTCCCATGTTTGAGACTTGGCAGCAGCTTTTGTTTAGTTCAGCAGTCAGCAAGGGGTAATAAATTGAGATTGAGAATGCAATTTGAGTATTTAACCCCAGTGAAAGGGCGATATAAAAGACGCAATTGGATATATTAAATGAAAACAAAATATTAATTATACTGATCAACGTGTGATTTTATCATGTATTCTTAAATTAATACGAAATAGTGAAATACCATTTTACAAAATGTATTGAATTCTTATATTGTAGCCTTAAGGGCTAGTATGTGTTGCATGTGTCAATTAATTTAAAAGTTTCGATTGGAAAGTATGAACAAGGATTTATGCCACACCACATTTGGCCAAGTAGCTATGAGGACAACTTTTAGAATATACATTGCATCCCTTAAATCCTTTATATGAAGATCAAGAAATTATACGTATATACATATGTCATACTTCATATATATTTTCTGTTAATTTGATTTAGTAAAGTACAACAAAGTAATACCATATTACCATGTACTTAATAATTTACAAATATACAAAGGCTCTGTTACAATAAGTATTTGCTTTATAACTTGATCGCTACCAAGTCTACAAAGAATGTATAGCCTTCACCTTTTGAATTGCTTGTTTGATTCTGTTTGATGGTTCTTCATACAGAAAAGCCGGATTATCAAATTCTGATGCACGGCTAGGCTCACCAAGGAAAGCACGGAATGTATCTGCAACTGAATAAGAGAGAGATTGGAGATTGTATCCCCCTTCCAAGAAGAACACGCAGCGCCCTCCACATAATTCTTTGGCTAGCTGTTTTATACTGGCAGAAAGCATGTATTAAGTTCCTGTTGTGAGCTGAAGGCTAGCTAAATGATCCAAGACATGTCCATCGTAGCTGCACACAAATAAAAAATGCGGTAGAAGCGAAATTATGATACACACTACAATAGTTGTGCTTGGCAGAATTAGCACCTAGACTCTGAATAATAATGCAGTACAGGTGATTAGTATGCTTACCCAGCAGATACAAGGATTATGTCTGGCTTGAATCTTTGAGCACATGGCACAATAACTTCGTCAAAGATAGTTCTCATAGCAACATCTCCAGATCCTCCCGGCAATGGCAAATTCAAAGAAGTTCCTTCCCCTTGGCCACTGCCTACCTCATGAATTTTTCCCGTACCTGGGTAGCTCCCATCCTGTGTTGATAGTTAAAATTTTGAGTAAACAAAACTAATCTACTATGGAGGACCAGCCCAGCCTCGTTAAAACATTTAACTGAGAAAACTATCAGTCATGATCAAATGCAAGTTCTGTGAAAAAACTGTCATCATTTAAAATTGTCTAAGCCACGGCTTTATTCAAATAAGGAATATGAGCATTCCAATCAGCCAAACATGATAGCTTAGAAACAAATACATAATCAGTTGTCACCCTGCATAACCAATCTGGTTTTTAGTGTCATAGATACAACAATGATTAAAAGATTAAGGGAGAAAAAGGAAAAGAGAACAGAGGTGGAAATATGATAATATATGGAACAAGCACCTTTCGGGAAACAACCCAGCTACTGTACTAAAGGCCAACCTCATTAAGATATATGTACAAGGAAAACTGCCCAAAAGATCAGTATTACATAAAAGAAACCAGCAAGCTACATTTGTGAATCTCAAACTGAAGGTCATGTACCTAAATACAGATTTTTGTACTTGGGGATAAAAGAGCCTACAACCAAGCAATATACATTTTCTGTCACATATTGGTCTTCATACTTTTTTCCATCCCTACATCTTTCCACCTTAAAGTGCACAGAGTTTCTACTGGATACACATCTGTTCCTGAGCAATAAATAAAACTGCATACTATAAAACATGTTGCTGTTGGTTCTCAACTATCAAACTAGGTTTATTAATCCATTCCGTTTCCCATTATATATAATAATGGATAAGAAGCATATTAATTTGCATTAGTTCGTCCACAGCAAGCAAGTGCGAAAAGTATACAAGCAAAAAGCTGAAAATAATCAAGAATTCTTTTTTTTTTATTTTTTTTTTATTATTATACTAATAAGGCAAAGCAAAGCAGGAACAAAGGTTCACCTGATGAGTTGAAAGGAAGTATATATCTGGGTCCTCATAAAATGCATCATGCGTGCCATTGCCATGGTGAACATCAAAATCAATGATGAAAACACGTTTTAATCCATGAATTCGCTGAGCATAGCGAGCAGCGACAGCAATGTTTCCGAAAACACAAAAGCCCATAGGCCCCGTTGGAACAGCATGGTGACCAGGAGGCCTTATCAAAGCAAATCCAGATGGAGGCTCTGGAGACTTTTTAGATGCAGCCACCTAAAATGTCCTGATAATATTCAGTCAGTTAACTATTTTACAGAGTTTCTATTTACTAGCTTCAGAGCTAGCATGGAATGTTGGAAAAAAGACCAAAAGTATATCAAATTCTCATAGTATGTTCAGTTGTTAGGCATGCCACAAGAAAAAAGTGTTCACATGCTCTTCCTTGGAGTCAAATATATATTTTTGGCCACAGTAAAATTATCTCACTGGGAAGACAGAACAGTTAGTTAAAAGTTGGTCCGTGAGGTCATAATTCCCAGGATTTTTCCTAACGCCTCATAGATCCTCCCACACACTAGTATTAAAATGATTAAGATCTCACCACGGCATCAACAACAGCCAATCCTGCTCCAGCTGCAAGCAATGAGTCCTGAAATGTCTGCAAAACAGTAAAATGTTGTTCGATATGCAAACCACTTCTACTATATTTGGAAAAACTAGTACTGCTAAGAAAGAAAGGGCTACTAGCTATTACTATTATTCTGGGTAAAAACCAAAGTGACAAAGCACATAATTCACGAAGAGAAGTTAAAAGGTCACTTCCTGAGAAATGCATTAAGAACCATTGACGGATAGAAAAAGTCTGCCTATCATAATAAGTCCTCTGATGATATCATATATTCATAATCTTGCTCATACAACAAAGTTTGTTACCAATCCAAACATTGGTGTTGAAGACCAACTTTGATGCAGGGGTAACCAACTCCATGTGGGCTTAATCAGGAATTTAGACTTTGACAGCAAGATCAGTGGATATTTGGCCCAACTATAACTATTCAGATGGTTTCATTTTGGTGTGGCTTTGATTAAAGATTTAGATTAGTTTGGAGGGCTAAGCAATAGTGTTGGAAGCATAAGGAGAAGTTAGATAGAGTTTTCAAGTTCAAAATGAAGAAAAATAGCTCTGCCTAACTACCTGGGCCAATCCTGGCAGTTTGGGCATGAAGTCAGCAAGGTTATGCCTGACCACCGGGCAATTTATCCCAGGCTAAACTTGAGGCCACAGAGTTCCAGCTATTCTTTTTTCTTTTAATGGATTAATCATGACCATTCATTTATAATCTAAGGGCCCATTTAATAAGTTTCTTTACGGTTATCATATTGGGTAACAGCCACCTATTTATAGGAATGTAACAGCATGTTCACACTCAACTATTGATGATAAATGAAAATTTAAGAATTTTCTCTCTCAGCATCTTTGTGAGCTTTTCTCTTTGTGATTGACCTTAATCAAACTTAGTGTGAGAAATGACTGAATACCAAGGATGGAAAATCTAGCTAAACACACACACACACACATCGGACAAAAAAGAGATAAGCTCAGTAGTCTTACAGAGGCCGTGGCATATGTTGGTCCAGACCCCTCAATTAAAAGAATGCCTTGTTCTGAAGCCTTTTCCATCACCTACAAAACAAAGTTAATTGAACTAGCATATCAAACTCACCTATATGAGCGAAAGAACAAGGTGATATTAAAAAAAAATAATAATAATAAAAAAAAAAAAAAAAAAAGGGGGAAACAGAGAGGTAATTTTGTAATTGTAAGTGGAACTCAATGGTTTTACGAACACAGAAACCATTCCTAGAAATCTTTTTTCCTGCAAAAACATTTTTCATGACTGGTAGACACTAAACATGAGGCTGTCAGCTGCCTCATATGAAATTCCTGACATAAGGTGAGGCAGCTGAGTGTTCAGAAATTGTAATGAAAGTATTAAGAGGATGGCCATCTTCTTTGATATGCGAACACTTGAAGATGGAAAATTCAAAATGAGGGAGTAGCCAGAAAGGTCTTCTCAGAGAGTTATTCTGACTTGCTAAAACATTTACTCGGACATGCAGAAACATAAGACCTATCAAAAAACTTTCTTTTATGTGTGTGTGGGGGGGGGGGGCTTGGGGCCTGAGGTTTGCCTCAAAAATACGATGCATATGTTACGAACATAATGCAGATAAAGCTTCTAACCTAATATATACAGAATTGGAAGAGTTTAATTACACTGACCTTCTCAAGCCCTAATACATAGGCTCTTTCATGAACACTACTTATATCTTCCACTGAAGCCGGATTAAAATGCTTGAGCTCAATTATTTCTGAGTTGCGATACTGCCATACATCAGTCGAAAGTAAGAGTCAGTTGAATATGGAGACTTGGAGAGTAATAGTAATCAAAAGATTAAGAAATTTTGCATTTTTAAGAATTGACATATCTGGCTTGTATAGACTTTCCTACTTTCAGCAACTTAGAGATAAAATCATTCACAATTGTTCCATTTCACATACTTCCTCCGTTTTTTTAGTTGCATCACTTTAGTTTTCACGGACTCCTAGTGTTAGAATCCAACCTCTTTGTTATGTATTCTTCTTTATTTTCCTTGTATTTTCCTTATGTAATGTCTCTTTAGTCTTTCTTTTTATTTTTCTAGACCCTAGGGAGAATTATTGTGTTACTGTCATTTCAACGTTCACTTGTAATTCTCTACTAATGCAATATAAAGCTCTTTAGGGAGCGAATGGTTATTCGATCAAAGCTCTCTACTCCGTTGTTATTGCTTTAAGACTTGTGTGTTGTTTAAGCCTTTATAGATATTGTGCTTGCCTTGTTTTAAAGCATCCCCCACCAAACCAAGAGACCCTAGAGACGTCCTCATTTTCGTCGATTCCGCTTGTGCCCGCTTCGAAGTATCGGCCGTCACAAGCCCCGACTCCGCGCTCGTTGTTCTCGTGTGCCCTCTTGAGACACCGTAGGTCCGTGTTGCTGTGTGCTCACGAACCTCCTTGCTTTAGGCTTGCGCCCTTGTCGCCAAAAGACGAGAGCGCGCCGCACGATCTGGTGTTGAATCACTCGGACCGTGACACCTAGGCAATTTTTGGAGTAGAGAGGTAGAGAGAAAAAATTAATAGGGCCCATGTGGTAGGAGAGAAAAAGAGAGAATTTATTAGTTAAAAAGGAAAGTGATGCAACTAATTTAAAACTTCCTTTTTAGAAAAGTGATGCAACTAATAAGAAACGGAGGAAGTATATGCCCCTACTAGCAATCCTGGATACTATTCTAGTATTCATAAATCTATAATGTGTTTACAATGTCGGCTATAACGTCCTTCATTAAGTTTCAATACATAATCAAACAACCATATATTTAAAGGTGAGTAATGAGTCTAATGACTTCCCCACTCAACCTTTTAATAAAAGCATATGTTATTGAGGAATAACATTATTTTTTAACTTCTACAGGCATAAAGTTTTCCAACACGGCAACATATTATTATTGCTTCTGAATTAGTGTGTTCATTTAATATGGAACTTCTAACTAAGACCAAGGGATTAAAACATCGTTATTCCAAGGGGTGTAGTACTATTAACATACACTCTACAAGGCACTCAAAACTAAATAAATAAACACGAATATGTCAGATCCTTCACAATGTTCCTCTGTGAAATCATGTAACGAACTGAGTAAAGGACAAAACAACTCCATTTTGCCAACATATTCTTCATAAATAAAGAAAAGAAATTCAAAGGAGATGATAAAAGTAATTATGAGGGTTTCATAATCACCAAATAGCTATGAAGATTGTACCAGGCTACTCTAGTTTCACAATCACCAAATAGTATATACAACCATAAAAATAGAAAATCCTTTTTTCTTTTTTTACTACTTTAGTTTCATAAAGGAGCATTGTAAGGACCCTCAAGCCCTAACCTAAGTCACGCCTTCAAATTTTTTCAGCTAATTTCATAGTCTAAATCCCCTCATGCAACCAGTTTATCAATATCCCTTTCCTCTGAGCGTTCTAATTGCATGTTACTACACTACTCAAATTCCAATAATTGAGATGCAAGTGAATAATCCAAACAAGTAACATAAACTCTGAGAAATCTAATATAGAACCATTGTGAAAAAAAGAAATGGCGAACAGGTTGTAGTCTTAAGGTTTATGTCATGAATGCACATACTAACATAAAAGAAAAACAAAGGCATATTAGTAGTTACCTTTGGAGTAAGCTCCAACTTTTCAAGAGTATCAACAATTGCGGGAACTCTGAGGTTAGACTCTGGATGTGACTCCTGTTGAGAATTATACCAAAAACCTCAATCTCAGTGCAAGAATATCAACCAAAAAATTCAGGATTCAAGATGCAACATGTAGAGGTTCATTGCATGAACTAACAGGAAACAATGTTTGATATAGAAAAGGCAAATGAATATACTTCCTTCGTTCTCTTTTAATTGCAACATTGGGCATTTCATGCTTGCCAATTCACAACATCGTTGATATTTTTTTTGTAATGTATAATCACAAAGATGGTCAAAGGACTGAAGGAGTGTGTATGAATAGTGGAAAAAGTCCCAAGATAAAATTAAAACGGAACAGAGGAAGTACAATAGAATGATCTCCTGCAGGAACTTTACTCCTGGGATTCCCTTAAGAACTACAGTTTGATGGGATTCACGTAAGAATTATAGTTTGAAGGGAATGACTTAATAACTACAGTTCTCATCTCATCATATCAGCAATTCAGCACCTTTATAAAGACTAGACTTTGCAAGATGGTGCTAAGAATCAGGATAGATTTCTAAGCCACTGAAGTTTAGGGAGAAAGCTTCATAAAATTGAATTATTTGATCAGTGTAAACACACTAATTACATGCTGACCTCAATTCAAGAGGTGAATTTCCTTTCAATAGCTTTCTCTCAATAGTCACTACAATCAACGTAAATCCCACAAAATGAGCTTTCTCCCTATCTATTATATCAGCTAACTACCCAACTTGCTGCACAACTTTTCCTCTAACAAACTTCTGGCAGGAAAAAAAAAATCTGCAGTGCCTTTCCTACCCCTGGGTTATCTTCTACAACAGATGAGCATCACAGGGTGGGCAAGTAGATTTAAAAATGGTACTCCTGAGATTCCCTTAAGAGCTACAGAAATACATAATTATAAAACAAAACTGGCAATACAGCTGGTTATTAACAGTCATAGAAGTGAAACCACTGATTACTTTTGTGTTAGCAGGCCTTATCTTAAGGATAGAGTAGCAATAAAATTTTAAAAATAAAATAAAATTACCTGATTATGCCCGGTGGCAGAAGCAACACTGTAAATCACTTTGGCATTTGGTAGTTGTATATCTGAAGTATTAGATGGCTCCTTCTCTGAATTAGTCGAGCAAGAAATGGAGTTTATCCTCCTTGATTTCAGGTTACTTAAATATGAATGCCTTGCATGGCCAATGAAGAGCCTTAGCTTGAGTGGTTTCCTCCATGTACACAAAGAACGTTCAAATAAAGGCAGTATATTTCCTACAGCATATGTGAACTTCCATCAGCAAAACAGAAAGCTCCTATCAGGATATCAGAGCAACATTAACTATTAGAATTAGAAGGAATACCACAAACACGCCTGAAGTAATGAAACAAACCATTTTCCAATTTTCTACAAATATATATCAACATCTAGTTGAGTAATTTAGAACTAGAAGTTTCCCAGGCAAGAAAGCCATTCCACTGTGCAATGCCAAGACATGTTGTAACTGACAGAAAGGATGCTATACTCAGCGCACAAAACGTAAAATTATGCACATAATCAATTTGCATGCAGCAATTTAGCCATATCAAATAACATAGTGTGATTGAGAAACCTTGTCATCAAATACTTATCCAGTTATCTAACAATCAACAAAGAACCAACTATCAAGTCTCTACTCATCAAAAACGATCCCAAAAAAATTCATAGCTCACACGAACCCTCTCTCAACAAATACTGGATTGCCTGCAGCAATCATCAATTCGTCAACTATATAAATCCTTGTTATCAAACTATGAGCTTGAAATAGAAAAAGGATGTTATCGATCCTAGAACATAAAACATACTAAAAGTCCGCATCCAAAACTTATTTTCTTGCCGAGATTTCTTCCACCCACAAGACTATACCCAAGACCAGCAAATTTCACCTCAAGGCTTCTCTCCTCAAAAAATCATAAGAGAAACAGAGACAGTCCAATAATAAACCCCATTAAACCAATCCCATTTTCCAAGCCTAGATAAAATTCATCCAATAACTCATTCCCCTCTTTATCAAAAGCCTTACAGTTGTTAAGAGAGTTCAGAGTTTCTGACTTGCAGTAACCCATCAGTTACTGCTTCAAATATGATAAAGACCATCATCACCTCCATTCTACGGCTTACTAGACTCCGACTAATCTAGATTCGAGTCGAGTTAATCCCAATCAGGAGAAGGTTCTGTCAACAAATGTTAACCCACAACATATATATGAAATGTGAAACTCAGGAATAAAGAACTCCTAAACTTATTCAAGTTGGGAAATTTCTCCCTCGTTATTAATTTCCTACCAAGAAATTCAAAATCAAAAATCCAAAACAATCAAATTCAACCTAAAACAAAATACACCCAGAAAAAGAAAATTCATTTGGACGAATTACAAACAAACAACAGATAATCAAATAGCAAACTTAACACCAAATTTCGATTTTTCCCAACTATTTATCACCAACAAAAGTGAGCTTCAGAATGATAAATGAAGGAAATTTGCGAGGAGAGAAGAGAAAAAATACCATGATGAGGAGCCAAGAGTTGCAGAACTTCCATGGGTTAGTGGCTACGGAAAACGCTTATGAACGATAATCCTTGATAATTCGTTTAATTGTACGAGTATTACTATTAGAGATGTTATTGACCACTATAGTCAAATGTCAATAAGACCGAGAGTGAGGGATACCTAAGGTGGTTAGAGCTTCCCTCCCGCTTTCAAGATATCTTAGGATCAATAATGTGTTAGGTTAAGAGTTTTTTTGGACTCAAAAAGTTATCTAAGACAGCTAATAGCTAACATTATTGCACAAACAACTAATTAGAATCAGGTAGTTAAAAAGCTAATACATACAACTAAATGCTAACGACTTGCCAAAGCAGCAACAAAAAACAATTAAAAGCTAATTGTCAAACAGGACCCAACTTGACCCATTTTTTCAGATGGTAGAAAAACTCATATGTATTGGGTATGTGTATTATTTGCTTTGGTTTGGAATAAGAAAAATAAGATATAAATATTATTACAAATTTCCATTGAGGAAAAAAAATAATATCTCTACTCCGTATTACTTAGAAATAGAATGAATGAAAACTTTGCAAACCTAAAATCTTCAACTTTGTAAGCAGCGAGACATGCAAAATATAAGTAATACATAGAAAATTTATTCGAATTTGACTAAACTTTTTCGTACTCCTTTCCTACAAGCTACAACCAAACATTATAAGACTATAAAACTCTCACATTTTTTTTTCATTTTTGCTCATATTTCCTCATTGAATTTTGATTCTCAATTACATGGTTTTTTTTAAAATTGGGAGGTCGACTAGTGTCTGTCTCATACAAATACAATGCATAATTTTTATAAAATAGGCTAAGTGGCGAAAGACAATAGAGTGTCATAACTTACAAGGAGCTATTGTCATAATATACAACGTATGGAGTAATTTTTTTTATTTTTTTTTTTAAATTTTACAATATTTATATGCTATACTTTTTTATTGGACCTTAACTAGTTTTAAACTAATTAAGGCCCGGAATTCTTTATGAAATTTGGGCTTTATCTACAAGAAATCTAGATACATCAACAAGTCCACTACTAAGAAAAGGGCAATTTGACATAATGATTGGTAACATTACTTGTGATTGGATTTAGGAACTCATTATTGTTATCACTTTGACTGTAACAAGTTTACAACTTCCTTTCGATCCTTGACCTTAGTTGACTTTCTTTTTAAAAAATGTACAAATTGGTCTTGTTTGACTATTGGACATCTTTTCCAATGTTTATAATAGAATGTTGAATGCGGTAGTGTTATGTGATCCAACACTCAAAAAATATTGTTGGTAGATAGTTTCTCAATTGGTTTAAAAATCAGTTTTTTACTTTTTTTAGCCTAAATGAAAATGCTTACATGAACACAGGTTCTCATTCTAGAATTTGGTTGTTATCTCTCAAAGATAACTTTATATAAATATCTAATTATATAACAACTGCTTATATGTGTTAAGTGAACGAGCTAACAACCAACAAGCAAAATGATTATCCAATAAGTCAAATGTACCTCCATAGGAAAGTTTTTGAAAACTACATATAAAAAAAAAGAAGGCTTGAAATCTTGAATACTTCTAGCAGCCAAATATTTTTAAACATTACTGAAACTAGTAGTTTGTGTGGTTTTAATTCATAAAGAGAATTCCTAATTATATATCTAATTATAGCAAAAGTGTTCTAAGTATACATAGTAATAATGAATTTGAATTGTTGTTTAATCCCATATGTTACCAAATGTTCATGAAATAACATGTAAGCTATTTAACCTTACTCTCTCATTTGAACACCTTGTTAACCCTTAGCTTTCTTTGGTCATGGAAACGACTTTTCGAATTTGGAGGAGGTATATGATTGTAGAAGATTGCTATCATGATCCCTTTTGTTGGAATATTTAGAGTGTTGTTGGTTGCGTGCTCGCAAACCATGAGTCGCGTCCGCGCTAGGTACGCGCGGCCGCGCAGAGGTCGCGCCTAAACCGCGGACCTTACTGGAATTTGGATATTTGGAAGTGTGAAGTTGGCGCGGCTGCGCGTCTGGTGGTGCGCCCGCGCGTCATGGATGGTGTGCCCGCGCCTGTGGTCGTGCCTATATCGCGTACCACACTGCCTTCCTTTGTGAATTTCGCAAGTTCAGAAGAGGCGCGCCCGCTCCACTTTGAGGCGCGCCCACGCCTCTTGGTGGAGCGCCCGTGCCAGTTTGTTTTTTGCGAAATTCTGACGGTTAAGTCTTTAATAAAAGGCTTGATTTCAGATTCGAAGGAACATTGAAAATTTCTCTTCTTCTCTCCACAAGTATTCTCTACAATTTTCTCTCAAAATCCTTGCAAACTTTTGTGAGAAAACTCTTGCAATCATTCCAAATTTTGTGAATTTATTCATCTTTGTTTCGATTCTTTGTGCTAAGAACGAAAAGGGCTGTCAATTGTATCTCAAAGGGAATTTCCGGAATAAACCAAGCACCGTGTGGGGGAAATTAATCCCTTTAGAAAAGTATTCATACGCCTTTGACAGTGTATCAAGGTCGTAGTCTCAAGGGACATCGTTATTCTCATGTTCATGTGTGCTTTGATCGGCTTGGAGTTAAGGCAAGTGTAATTAAACTTATATTAGTGTTGTCTCTAGAAATTTTCTGTAATTTCTTAGACTTATTAATACTTGATTGTAACACATTGTGTTGTGTTTGAATTATTGCAATACATTATTGTTTTGTAATCATATAATTTAGGTTTTGTTCCCACACAAATTTTTAAGCGTTTTCTTGATTGAATTTGCTGTAAAAACCTAACACCTTTAAAGCAAACACTTCTAGTGCAAGACTGTTACACTATTTGTTCTACAATGTTGTGTTCCTCTTTCTCGGAGTCAATGCTAGATTAGTAGTCTCAAAGGGAGGCAAAAGCTTGTGTGTGGGCCGCTAAACATCCAAGTCTCCATGCGGTAACTTTTTTATTGTAGGCTAATGAATGCCCAAAACTCACGATTTTCTCTACCTCCCTTTCATAATGTACCACCCGTTAATTTTTACTTGACATAGTTAAAACATAATTATTTTAAGACGGGTTTACGTGGAATGTCACAAGCCAATTGATATTACGTACTAGGGTAATTATAGTTAATTTATATATCGTTCAACGAGGATAGTATATGACTGGTTATTTTAAACATTAGCGTGAAAATTACACGATATATGTGACTATCAATTTTGAATAGTTGATTTTAGAGGTTCATGAATCATGATGAGTTACTACACTAGGATATAATCTTACATGAAAGTAAGCTCATCCTTTTCAAGGAGATATGGTGTAGCTCATGATTGCTCATCTATCTTTAGTTTCTTTTAGCTTAGTGATTCATGGGAGCTACATGATTACAAAAATATTCCTCAATGCACACGTAGAATGGTGGACTATCAATTCACTACTATTTTTGTCTTTTGTAACTTTAACTTGCTACTTATATATGACATGTGTAATGTGTTTTTTTTTTCCTTATTTTCTTCCAACTGTCCCCATTTTTTTTGGGTGCTAACTTTTCATTTGCTAAAACCTGGTTTTTCTTTGCTTTTTAATTCATGTTAAATAAGTACATAAATTTGACAAAAGAATTAGAAACCAACTAGTTCAAATGCTGATTCAAAAAAAAAAAAAAAAAAAAATACTAGTTCAAATGCTTTTTCTATTTCAGAATAACAGCTATAATATTTGATTATATATTTTCGATCTTTGATGCATAATTTTAAGTTTTTGACCATTAATAAATATTGGTATACATTAAAAAAATGTAAAGAGTACTACATAAATTATTACTTTGAAAATTTTTAAATAATTTTTTCTTGAGGATTATCTTAACAAATTAATAATATCATGATTTATAATATTTTAAGGATGACTATTATAAAATTTTCAATATAATTAAGGGTTAAAATGTGATCAAAGTTTATAAATTTATTTTGACTAGTTAAATGTACCCGTTAATTTAGGACTAGAGTATGTATTTACTAATTTTGACGTAACATGTAGTCGTTAACGTAAGACTCAATTTTTATTGTTTTATACTATTTCGATGAAAAAAGTGCCTAAAACGGAGGAATCTTGTTTTTACTTTTATTTTTTTCAAATGTTTGTTATAATTAACTTGCCTGAAGTAGAAGTGGAAAATTGAGATAGGCTAGTAAACTTTAATGATAATGCAACTTTACACTTGTTGAGATTAGAAGTCATGAGTTTACAAACAATTCGATCTACCAACTTCAATTTTATCATATGATGTCATGTTTATGTGATCATTTGGCATGAAGAAATTAATAATTTTAACCTTGTAAAATGTTGTTTGGTTGCACTTTTTACTAACAAGATAATGTGAGGTAATTTAGCTACCTTGGACCCTTGGTAAGAAAAGAAATTGGGAAAAAGAACAGTTTTATCAACATATATGAAAACCCATCAAAATGACTATTTTATCAGATTATATCAAATTTAGTTAGTAATTTTTAAATTAGTATTTAATCATTGTATCATGTTATGATTTTTAAAAAATGTAATATGAGACTAGACGTGTACTTCATTTCGTATGTGAATCCATTATACGGACAATTAAAATTGTTAAGTTCTTATACTTCGTGTACATTAGCAATAAATATATGTTAGTCATCTGACCTAGTCTCCACAATATAATTATATACTTTCTCTGTTTCTTTATATTTGCAACACACACTTTATCATAGTATTTAGGGCTGCAAACTATACGAGCCGAGCCGAGTTTCAGCCTGTTCGAGCTAAGCTTGATAAGAATTATTCGTGTTCAAACTATCTTGAGTTTGAAAGAGCTTTTAAAAATCTTGTTCAAACTGGGCTCGTTAAGAATTTGGCTTGTTCAAACTTTGTTCACGAATGTACTCGTTTGCATTTCAAGTTTAGCTTGAACAGGATTAAATCGGGCTTGACTAAATAAACGAGCCCTAATTTGTTATTTAAAAAAATGTTTTCTTTCAAATTTTAACACAACAGAGTTTTCATTCCTTTACATGATGAAATAATTAGTACTTTTTTACAAATATGTATGAATAAAAAATATATAAATTGTCCGAGTTTTAATCGGACATTAATTAAAAAAAACTTATAAATGGACTTAAACGAGTTGTTCATGAACATTACCGAGTCGAACATGATGTTGTTCGAGCTTTGTTCATTTATTTGAAGAGCTTAAGATTTTTGTTCAAGCTTGTTTGTTAGCTTAACAAACGCGTTATAATCAAGCTTTGACCGAGCTTGTTCGCGAGTAGTTTACGAACGTATTAGCTCATTTACACCCCTAATGGTATTTAAGAAAAGTAGACCTCACATGATATAATACACTTAAAATGAGGTTAAGATGAGGTTGTTAGAAGTATGATCAAGTGGGCAATGAGCTTTAAATAAACAAAAACTTCTGTATACATATAACTTTTGTTGAATTTAGGGTAACTTTTTTCCATAAAGCTTAAATTACTTTTATTTATACCAGGATAACTTATTTATACTGGGTAACTTTTATTCATTATAAGGTAACTTTTGATCATTTTAAGGTAACTTTAAAACGGATGTACATTGTACATCCGATTTTTTAAATGTTTGTCTTAAATAAGATCAATAGCAAGCTAGAATAATGGTTTACTTTTAGTTTGAAGGTGGCAGTGGCACAGTAAATTGGATAATGGTAGTTGCTTAGCTTGTGTTGGCACACTTGTATGAAAGCACACTATTTTGACTTATCCACTTAATCCTTATGCCAAATAGCAAGCCGAAACATCAAAAAGGGTTTTAAAGGTCACTATATCTTCAAACTTAATCCAAAGTGACTCTTGAGCACATAATCTTGTAACTCTAGTTAATTTATATAATCCTGATTATCTTGAGTAAATATATGCCTTTAATCATATAGGGCACTAATTACTTTCAGAGAAACAGTTTTTGTGATTTTCATTAGGGTTTAGTATTACTACTATAGTACTATGAATCTATGTATAGCAAAGTATATAATGTACTCTATAAATATATTATATATATATATTATATATATATATATATATATATATATATATTATATATATATATATATATATATATATATAACTTAAGGAAGAAACTCGATTTCATTTCAATGTCCATGAAATGCTTGTTTAATAATTTAATTATTATTTTCTTCATTCAGTATCTGTGTTTATCACTTTAAAGGTGATAATAAATGATTAATTGTCATTACACCATGCTTTTAACTAATTGAACAGGTTGATTGATTGTTGTATATTCTAACTCAAAGAGTACAATAATTTATTTAAAAATAATTTTAATTTGCTAGTCATTTCCATATAATGTTAGGTATAATCTAGTTAGAATTTTTTATTAATGTAGGTCAACCAATAAGAATATTATGGAGATGCTAAAAATTTCACTTCTTTTTAGGTTAACGAAAAGGTATATAAGCCAATAATGATTCAGATGCCAAGCTTGAATTGCATGGTGTAGAGCTGATATTGGTACATCTTGTAATCTTTAAGCTAAGGTCAGAATCTGAGTCCCCAATTAGAATACACGAGGAGCTTATACTCTGTCTTTGATTCAACCTAACAACTTATGATATTTTTGTCAGATTCAGATGATAAATAGACCCATTTACTTCAAGATGCAGATGATAATAGACCCATTAAAGCAATTTAGAAACTTAAATTAAGCTGATAAAATTAAACTAGCTAGCAAGCTAGCTAGCTATAAGGCTAACGGGGAATCTTATAGTATAGCTTAACACACCTATATGGCTAATTATATTGATGTTTGGTTGAGTACATGAGCTACATATGATATTAATTTTTTACTCCCAAGTCCCAGCTTATAAAAAAATATAATTAAGTTCGAATAAATATGTTGTATTAATAAGTTCAGACAAGATAATTTTGAGTTTAGGCATCACAAGTTCAAACGAAACAAAATAAGCTAATCTGTGTAGTAGATTTAATTAGATAAATCAAAATAAGATGAAGAGACTATACATACAACTTAAATTTCTTAGATGAGGGATATCATTAAGAGGGTTCGTGATTCAAATTTTAATGAACCAAATTTGGATAAAGTTAAGGTATTGATGTATTATTATAAGACCGACTAAAAATATATTAACTAGTGACCTGTATCTTATAATTTTGAATTGGATTATCACTCTAATGGGAGATCATAGGATCGGAGTTGAGATCTCTTGTGGTGATATATACTCCGTATTACATATCTTTGAGCAACAAACAAAATTGATGTAGATGAGATTCGGTCAATCCCATAAGATGAGTACTGCAACCTAGCTAGCTCGAATCCCAATACTACTTGTACTTCATGACCAACATATAGGTAGTTGTCTTTCATACAACTTTCTATATATCAATCACTGTACTCCTTGTATAATCTGACTTGTAACTCCACAACAACAGCCATGTTTCCGATGTGAATTTTCTTTCATATTTAACTTTCGCACCGAATAGAATATGACCTAAAAAAAGCATATATAAGAAAGTAGCAATTACATCAATCATCCTTAATAAACTGTCTAGTTATATGTAGAAACATCTCTCTCTTTAAACTTACAATCAACAACCTTTGTCCTTTCCTATCTAACAAAAAAAAAGTCCTAAATTTAAAAGGAAACAACTCCCATTCCATCTAATCTCTTAGCTTCAACCACAATCATCATCTATATATTATATATTATCCAACATGCACTTAATTATATTATATATCACTACAAAAAAAATAGACATTTAACAACAGATTAAATTCTTTGGTAGATTGTACTTTTTCTGTCGCTAAATATAGGTAGCGACAGATTTCAAAACGGAATTACTTTGTTGGCAAAGCTGTTGTCGCTAAATGAGACTAGCGACGTTGTATTTGTTTTCCGTTGCTGAACTTAGCAAAGGATTTTTATTTCCGTCGCTTATTTTAGCAACGGATTATTTTTATTTGTCGCTGGTATTAGCAATGGAAAAAAAAATCCATCTCTAAATTTAGCAACGGAAAAAATAAAATCCGTCGCTCATATCAGCAACGGAAAAAAAATCCGTCTCTAAATTTAGCAACGGAAAAAATTATTTTGTGTCTAAAAATGCTAGCTATTCAGTTCGACCTCACTCGGGTCAACCCGACTCGGCTTTGCATGTAAGGCTCCTTGAATCCCCCAATCTCAAGAATCGCAATAGGTAGGAGTCGAATCCGTGACCTTAAAGTTACATAGTGAAACTCTTACCAACTATACCAAATATTATTTATTTACTTTTACGCACATAATTAATAATAAGTGAAAGAAATATTAGAGACGGAATTCAAAATCCGTCTCTAGTTTAGAGACGGATTTGAAAATCCGTCTTTAGTTTAGAGATGGATTTTAGTTAACATAATTCGTCTCTAAAGTAATATTTTACATAATTCGTTTCGAAAATAATTTAGAGACGTAATTAAAATTCCGTCGCTCATATCAGCAACGGAAAAAAAAAATCGTCTCTAATTTAACAACGGAAAAAAAAAAATCCGTCTCTAAATTTAGCAACGGAAAAAAAAAATCCGTCTCTAAATTTAGCAACGGAAAAAATCTGTTTCTAATTTAAAGAACGGATTTTCAATCTGTTTCTAATTTAGAGACGGATTTTTTAATTCCGTCTGTAATTTAGAAACGGATTTTTTCAATTCCGTTTCTAAATTAATTTAGAGACAAATTTTTTTAATTCTGTCTCTAATTTAGAAACGGATTGAATTCCAGCGCTAGAATTCCGTTTCTATATATATAGTCATTTTTTTGTAGTGTATATGTGTATGTCAAACAACTTAAACTAACCTAATTCATTTATTTACCTCTTCTTAATTAAGTTATCACACTATAATATCCATAAGATCAATATGGTTCAAAACCTACCAAATATGATAGAAAATAATGAGAATATGTTAGATATGAAGCAGCTTCCTCCAGGGTTTAGGTTTGATCCTACTGATGAAGAGCTTGTACTTCATTTCATGTACTCCAAGCTTAAGCTTTCGTCGTCTTCGCGTAATTATCCTTCTAACAATTGTAATAATCCTCATCTTATTCCCGAGTTAGAGGATTTCTTTCATCACTATCATCCTCGTCAACTTCATGGTACGTAATTACTTACTTATCTTTGATTAGTCACTTGCTTAATTTGTTATATTTATTCTAAATTAAGTTGCTCTTTATTTTAGTTAATCTAAAATGATATTCATCACTTCAATAATTTTGATCTAATTTTTTCTTATTGTACGTATGATTACATGTATCTACTACAAGTATGTATAAGGAATATTATATGATTGATTGATGCATCTACTCTCTATTATGATTTCCATAATTTAATGTCATTTTTTTTGTTGATTAGTTTACTATGATTTGGTAAAGTTAATTTTTCCTTAGTGGTAAACTTTTTTTAATTTATTAAGAGAGCTGAGGAACAGTACCAAAGTTCCAGATATATCATCCTTTCCTTTTTTTTTCTTTGTTTAACCGTCCTTAATGTGATTTTGATCACATACTTGCATAAACTAATAGCCAAATTAAATTACTAGTAGTACTACTTAATATTCACCTTAAAATTCTATAATTCACTAATTTATAAATTTTAATGAGAAGGATATTTTTTTTTTCTTTCCTACTAAATCATCATGATATACATACTACTTTAGTAAATATGAGTTTATATTTTTTAAATTGAACATAGAAATAAAATGTCCAAGAGTTATTATTGATTTAGAATTTTTCTAATTTTGCATGTATATAAATGATTATATGAAGGTGAGGCGTTTGAGAGCTGTGGACAATGGTACTTCTACACCAGAAAGACAGAGAACCGGGTATCCGAAAACGGGTACTGGGAGGAATTAGTGGGCATGGATCAACCCATTTATGCTGGAAATAATTGTAACAAGTTAGTAGGGTTGAAGAAATGGTTGGTGTTCTACGACAAGGGAATGTATGCATCATCAGGGGTCAAAAATGGATGGTTCATGCAAGAATATCATGCATGTAGCAATAATAATCTCTTTAAAAGAAGAAAATCAAAACAGCCAGCAGCTGTAAGTACCCTTACATACTATACTAATAGCTAGAGACAGACATTTCAATTTTAATAACTACGTGGAATATTCTATGTGACATAATTAACGTGAAATTAACTTTAAACACATATATTCTGATTCTTTAAAATTCCCGTTTTTTAATTTTTAGGTGTATTAATGTATTACTGTTGTTTTGTGGATTGCAGATATGGTGCAACCATTATATAAAGAAACATTTAACATGTTGCAATTCATTAACATACGAAGTGTATTGATATTTATATATAATTTGTGGTTGGTGGTGGTTGCATTATAAAACCATGTTACGTACTTATTACATTGTTACATTATTGAATTAATATGGGTCATATTATAAATTAAAACTCAAAATCCTTGAGCTTTCCTTATTGTACAAAGCAAAATTAAGCTAGATTGATTTAAGGGTAGACACACATGCAATTTGATGGTTAAGCATGCAATAAGTAAAAAAGTTTCAATTTCTTGGGCTTCATTATGTTATAATGTTGCCCTTAATTTTTATTTAATCTCTAGCTATTATTTTGGTTCATTTGCTTAGGATGTGATGAACAAGTGGGTTTTATGTCGGGTGCAACAAGTATGTGATGAATCTCAATGGATGAACACCTTAAATGAAGACAAATATAACAACGAGGTGGAGCTTTCTTCTTCGGACGAAGCTGTGTTTTTAGCTATGGAGGAGAATGATCAGGATGAAGTAACTTACCCATATTAAAAACATATACGAAGTCTGTACGGAGTAATATATATACCACCGCCAAGCTTGTACAAAAAAGGAAAAACATAGCAATATAGGAAAGAAAAAAAAAGAGATAAAAGTGCAAATAATTTAACATAAACAGTTTTTTTATCCCTTGTAAATATTAGCTCAAGTGAAGTTTCATTTTTCTTATTTATAAAGCTAATTATATAGAGTTCATTAGCTATAATTTTGTATCTTGTATGTGTTATTTTCATTAATGAAGTTTCTTGTACATTGAACCTGAGTCTTTAATCCTCCATATTGGTAATTGATTGAACTAATAATTTCAAGAAAACAATTACGAGTACTAATTAATGACAACCTAAGATGAAGCTTTGAACCATCAAATTATAGTATTACTTTACGTATAAAGAAGTTAGATTAACTGAAGTGTTAGTTTAAATTGATTTCAGCAAATCAACTATAATTGCATTAGTTAAAGAAGGATGATGTTAAATTTATATGAGCTTCAATTTAAACAAATCAACTATTACCTCCGTTAAATATTAGTTGCAACTTTGGGGTATTATTTGAGAGACATAAAATATTCCAAAGTTGCAACTAATATTCAGAGGCGGGGCTACAAATTCTAACAATGAAAGTGGCCCGGTACAATTTTGTTAAATTGGGCCCTAAAAATATTTTTTTTGAGGAAAAATATGTTACTAAATTAAAAAACCAAGGCCCTTTTATAGTTGTTTCACTTAGGGGGTCATGTGTGATCGACCACCCTATACATGCTCAGAACCACCCCTGCTAATATTTAACGGAGGTAGTAGTAGCATAGAATAGCTTTTATTTTAAGTTGTATGTTTGGGTATCCAAATGGCTCACCACCGTTGGGCCTCTACCTTTTGGAGTAAGCCTATAAGAACGTCCACATTCACTTATAAGAATTGGACCGGTGAAAGAGAAAGAGCTACAACAATACAGGCGTAAAGGTGCCTCTATTTTGTTTGTAGATTATAATGGCCATCAAAGGCATCAAGATATGCATATCCTCCCACCTATTTTACATGTATTTAGGTGTTTCTAATGCAGCCTTAATCAAACACAATCCAACTAAGTTTAACTCAATCATTATTGGTAGATTTAATTTAAAACATAGAAGGTGATTGTTTCTACACTAGTACGTAAGCAAATTCAAATTCAAATTTAGTCAATAAAAGATCATTATTCATATATAATACTTCGTATACATGATGATAAGGATACGCTTCAATTCCTAAAATATTCCATATTCGTATTATATAAATCCTTTTTATGTCTATATTATCAATATTCAAAAGAAAGATAAGTAGCCATCATGTTATAAATGAAGATCTTAAAAATGATACTCTCTTGCTTTCAATACAAATTTCTCATTACGTACTACCCCGTAATACAATGTTAAATAATAGTCTTATATTTTTATCTGCTTTTTTATGTCGTCATTTTCTTTCTTAGATTATTGAAGATTTTGGTGACTAGTGAATGGATTATGCTAACCGAGCTCTTTCGATTTGATTTTAAGACCATGATAATTTCTTCAAAACTATTGCAAAGATATATTTTAAAGAACACGGAGTATATAATCGATTATATCATGGCCGGAGTACTAAATAATTCACAAAACAATCTTCATGATCTGCTGGTTTCACGTAAGAATTCATTTATTCTTGATCAACCCATTTAAATTAAATACAAATATAATCCAATCTCTATAATCGTGCTCAATTTAATGAATCTTTTATATGATCATCCAAATCCAACCCATAATTTTGGCATATTAAAATATGAGCAAGTTTTATAATGAATCTTTAAAGTTGATCAGACAATTTAGATGCAATCTTTTATAATGAATCTTTAAACATAATTTTTGGTGCTCATATTAAAATATACTACTCCCTCTTTCCCTAAATTTTTGCCCTATTGCAAAAATTTGGGTCAAATTTTATAAACTTTGACCATAAAATACTCTTAATCTATAAGTGATAATATAATCATGTGAGATCTTGTTGAATTCGTCTCATGGTACATTTTATTAATATTTAGTTTTTATAATTTTTACACTTGTGAAAATGGAGATATAACCGTTTTAAGAAGCTTGTTGGAGACCGCGAAAAGTCAAATGAGACAAATAATTAGGGACGGAGGGAGTATTCAATAACAAATAAACGTTTTTATCAAGTTAATTTGATGTGTATACTCTGTACCGTACAATTACCACGTATAATTAGATTTTGGATCGGGCCTATTCCAATCTGGATGTTCAAAATATAAAACCCCGTTTGGATGATTTTTATTAGGCACTATCAAAGTTGAATTCTTAACAAGTTTCTATCCTTAATTCCAAAAATAAATTTTTTGAATTACTTTTAAAAATAAATAATAAAATAGCTTAAGGCCAGTTCATAGCTCAAAAAAACAAATCCAACTCAAAACTCGACCTAACCTAATTTAACCAACCCAAAATATCTGTTCTAACTCGATCCAACTTACGTATCTGGTCAAATCTTGGCCCCAAACAATTCAATTTTTCAACCCGGCCCGTGATCAACTCTATATATAAATGTTAGATAGGCTGCCAAAGTGGCAAATGTTAGTTGGTTTATAAGGATATGAACAAACACGCAAACATAAGTGTCAATCTTTCCTACTCATCATCTCCAAATTGTCTTCATACTACTTAATAATCCTCAAATTTCTAAGTAATCCTCTTTTACAATTTTCTTCCACAATTTTTTTCCCTTCTAGATATTATCAATGGCATCATCATTAACAAGATCAAGAGCTCTAATTAACAAATTAAGATCAAATCTGGGTTCAATTAGTATGCTTAATTACCCCAACTCATCAAAAACTCTTCTTGTTAGTCCAAATTTTGTTTCTCATCGTTTTGAATCTACAATAGCCCAGGAACAAATTAATTTTACATCTGATGATGATGATAAACAGGTTAGTCTTTTCAGTTGGTTTATTTTATGCATACATTACTCTGTTTTAAGTTTAATAAATTTAATTTATTTAATTATATATATGGTTGGTTATGTGACATAGTATTTTTCTTATTTATATATACTTGTATAATACAACGAAGGGTATAGAAAAAATATAAAATAAATTAAATTAAATTACCTGTTTTTTGAGGCTTTTGCTAAGAAATATACAAGTAAATCAGAACACTGCGATTTTTTTTTTCCGGTGATCTTCTCCGGTGACTGACGAGGGTTGGTGATCAAAAGCTTACTATTATAATAATTTTATGTCGTGTCCCCGTACCCGTGTCTAAAATTAGGACAGAGGCGCATGAGTCTTGAAATTATATGTCGAACACTTGGATATGTACCCATACGGCGGTACCTAGGTACCCAAGTCCGATGAACATAGATACGTGACTAAATTAATCTTACACGTGGAAAAAAATCATGTAAAATAATGCTTAATTTGTAAAATAGACTAGGCATGAAGGCATTGTCTAAAGCAATGTCTTAAGTAATGGTGCTAATTAATGTTGTATTTTTGAGTTGTATACTCGTATTTGATCAAATATGACAATGATGAGCGCGATTTTTCGAGTATAACCGTCTTTTCCATCCTTGAAGTTGATGATTTGAGGAATAGCTCTAACTTGAGTAATATTATATAATGACAGGACTTAGATTTTCCTGGTGGTAAGGTTGGAATCACCTCTCAAATGAGGTTCATCTCGGAAACTAATGGTCGCAGGGTCGAATGCTATAGGGTCCTTGGTGATGATGGCAAGCTTTTGAAAAAGCCGCATATGCAGGTAATGGTTTCATTCATTTGCTGTTTGAAATACTTGTCTCGGTCTTGGAGTTTGCAGGAAGTTTGATACTGATGATTAATTGATTATATCAGGTCGGCGAGGAACTTGCTGTCAAGATGTATGAAAATATGGTTACCTTACAAGTGATGGATACTATATTCTATGAAGCACAAAGGCAGGGAAGAATCTCATTCTATCTCACTACTATAGGAGAAGAAGCCATTAATATCGCCTCAGCAGCTGCTCTCAGTGCAGATGATGTTATTTTTCCTCAGGTAGCTAACTGAATACAGCTGATGATTCTGATAAATTACTCGAGTTCAACGTGTCTGTGTGCAAGGAAGTTTAGACTCAACTTGTCTGAATTTTAAAATTTGCAGTATAGGGAGCCAGGTCTTCTATTATGGCGAGGTTTCACTCTGCAGGATTTTGCAAATCAATGTTTCGGTAACAAAGCTGATAATGGAAAGGGCAGGCAGATGCCTATACATTATGGTTCAAACAAGCTCAATTACATTACAGTATCCTCAACTGTCGCGTAAGATTTGTAGTTTTTGACAGGCTTTTGTTCTTTTATACTGTCTGATATACATTAGCCTTTATATAAATGTATCTCAGCTTGCAAATTTCTTCTGTTTTTTTGTTTCATTTTCAGTACGCAACTTCTCCATGCAGTCGGTGCTGCTTATTCTTTGAAAATGGACGACAAAAATGCATGTACAATTACTTATTTTGGAGATGGTGGCACCAGCACAGTAAGTATAATTATAAATTTATACTGGCCTCTGCACTTTCGTCTGTCAATGATTATGATTTTGCTACCTAAGGCTCTTAAGAATATAAAGCCTTGACCTTGTGTAATGGCCTAACTCATTTCAGGGGGATTTCCATGCTGCTTTGAACTTTGCAGCAGTCCTAGAGGCTCCGGTCATATTTTTCTGCCGCAACAATGGTTGGGCAATTAGCACTCCAATTTCGGACCAGCTAAGAGGTGAGTATCAACTATGATACTGCTTTCCACTACTTACATTTCCAGCACCTCATTTTTACCTATTATAGGTGACGGAGTGGTTGTCCGAGGGCAGGCTTATGGAATTGAAAGCATCCGAGTTGATGGCAACGATGCTCTTGCTATTTACAATGCAGTGCATGAAGCCCGAAGAATTGCCATCAGCGAAAAAAGACCTATCTTGATTGAGGTGAGTTAAGGCTATTGCTGATCTTTGTACTGTGTTTGCCTCTAGGAAATGTTGAGCTAATAATTAGGAAATATGTAATTGTAGGCATTAACATATAGAGCAGGGCATCACTCTACTTCTGATGATTCTACAAAGTACCGTCCACTTGAGGAAATTGAACGTTGGAGAAAAACTCGAGACCCAGTACCTAGATTTCGAAAATGGATTGATGGCAATGGGTGGTGGAGCGATCATAGAGAGTTAGAGTTGAGAAGCAGTGTCCGAAAACAGGTAATAACTGCTGCATTATGAAAGAGTTCCTAGTCATTGTGAAACGGCTAAGCTTTCATCTCAGTGTTGTTACGTTTGAAACTTATGAATTATGATTGCAACTTTAAATCAACTGTCTGACTGGTGTATTATGTTACAGCTCCTTCAAGCAATTCAAGTTGCGGAGAACCTTGAGAAACCACCAGTAGCTGATCTTTTTACTGATGTCTATGATGTTCTCCCACCAAATCTCCAGGAGCAAGAAAGATTGTTAAGGAAAACCATTGCAGAACACCGGAAAGATTATCCAACAAATATTCCTGTATAGTTGATTTACTTGAATCTTAGCACATCAAGATATGTGCTAATAATGTGCAAATGTACATATCAGGAATGAATAAATTTTGTATATAATGCTTATTCTTAGTATTGGCATTTGCAAATGTACCTGAAGCTGATTAAGCATTTGCTTTTGGTGGCAGTTTGAGTAATAGCAGGAAAAAAAAAAAAAAAAAAAAAAGAACTACTTATCAGTACATTCAAAATTGTGCAAACAAGTGACACTTATTTTTGTTAATTAATTTTCAAAAATGCCTCAGTTTCTCATCTACAAGACTACAATCATCAATCACATGTTGTATCTTCCAAAAGACCTAGGACCTCGTTTTGTGATCTTTACGTAATAAAAAAGGGGGGAGGGGCATCTGATTGAAGATAAACCCTGTTACTGTATTACATTAGGGAAAGCAGCACTACAAAGATGCAGCCTTCTCGTCTATGGACTGTTGAATTGCCTTCAGAAGGGATGGCATTAGCTTCTGGTTGCTAGCTATTATACCTTTGTACAGGTCAAGATACTTCCCTTTCGAAAAATACCTCCAGCTTCTGCAATACCAACCATATACATTCCAAAAAAAAAGAGCCTACAATTCAGGAAACATTTGAAAGAAAGAAAGGGGAAAAAAAACAATTAGGGGCAAAGTATGACGCCTTACCTGTAACGACAATAGACCCAGCGGCATGGTCCCATATCTTTTCACGATAACCTGCATTCGGGAAACGCAAATATATCGCCCCATCACCTCTGCTCAAAGCACCATACTTTGCTTGGCTATCAATCCTAACTGGAGGCGCTTTAACACCAAGTTTCTGTCGAAATATTTTGATGATTAAGCAGCTTTTCCATGTACAAGAAACTTTTCTAAAGAATGTAAGTAGTGAATACCAAATCTTACTTTTGCTATGGAGCTACTAAGATCATGGGAGGAATGAGCTGCTTCATATGATTCAAAGAATGATGCCTCTTCAGGATTTTCTATTGGGCTGACATTTACCTGTTGATAATTGAAACCACAGAAAATAGAAGGGAAAAAAAATGAGATTCTGTACTGAGTTCAGTGGAATAGATGTACAGTACATTTGCTATCAGTTTAAGAGCACACTTTGACTGGGGAAGAACCGTCAAGTGATTCCATATAGGTTCCTTCACCGAGGACAGCTGAGAAAAGACAGCCAGTTGGACCGGCAGAGGTCTGCACACCAAGAGGTGCTAGAGGATGATTTGGGCAAGCCAAGACCCCAAGGACTACTCTTCCTTTATCTAGCAATACTAATGCTATTGTGTATTGGTCCCCCCTCACAAACCTGGTAAGATGCAATCTTAGCTTAGATGTATCAAAATCAGGAAAACAGAGCAGTCAAAAGACTCAAAACTAAGAGATATATGAATTCATCAAAGATGACTTTGGAAAACCAATAGTTATTTAAAAGAAACAACAGGGGTCAATTTATCATAGACAGATAAAGATTGACTCTTTTGCTGTAGTATCAGGAGGATAAAAAACTAAGCCTCAGAGCTCTACCAATTTTCTTAATAAAACATACCCTTTAGTACCATCTATAGGGTCCAGAACCCAGAGCCGACCTACAGGACCACTTTCAGATCTGCCATTATCGATAGCAGCAAGCACACCATCAGCCGACAAAGGTGAAACACTGTATGTACTCTCACTGGCAATAGTATCATTTACTAGCACTCTGATACGCTCTAAAGTATCTTGTGCACCATCCTTTCTCAGATCTCCTGAGTCCTGGAATAATTAAAAGCTGTAATGAAAATTCACCAAATTAAACAGAGAAGTGTAACTATTCACGATCGACCACCAATATTTTACCTCCTCAGCCACCAAAGAAAATGGTTCATCAGAAAGTTAATGTTCAAGTACAAAACTAACAACAGCTTGTGAACCTGTTGATCACACATAGGGATTAAAATATTAGCTATTACTTGCCATGCAGAGGACAATTAATTGACATTAAGCACTCATGACGGCAATCCATGAGGAGAGGACCCCAGTAAATTCAAGGAAGATTTTCGTCAAGCTTGTTACAGGAAGATTTATCCAAGCACAGCAAGAAGGTTAACAGGTTGTGGAGACAAATAAACCTACAGTTTCTCTAAATGGCCATTGTTTGTAAGTTTTATATGGTTCTAATGATCCAAGTATAATGATATTTTTCTGAATAAATGGGGGGATGGGTTAGGTATGAAATTGAGTTGAAGTGAAGGAAGTTTCCACACGAAAAACTTGACAGTATTCGCTTATTTCAATATGCACATCGATGCCCTTTGAAAATGGCACCAAATGCTAATGTAATACATGCTCGACAACATCCAACAATACTTCTTTGTAATATCAGCCTCTCTAGACTAATGGCACTATGGCAGGCTATAACTAAACCCGTACCAATGATTTTCTTTTTACAAAGCATGATTGATACCCTAAAGCAAAAAATGGGCATGTATCAGCATTGTTTAAGACATTAGACATACATAGAAAAGTTATACTACAAACCATAATCCGCTACTGTTACAGGGCTCTTGTCCAGTTTTGATTGGACATCAGATTGCAACAATGATTTTTGTACTTTCTGCAGATAACCCAAAATACAGGAGCATAAGATTTAGCAAAAGTGGTATGCCATAGTCACAAATAATCAAATCAGGTATAACAATAGGAAACATTGTACCCAAAATACAGGAGCATAAGGTTTATCAAAAGTGGTATGCCATAGCACAAATAATCAAATCAGGTATAACAATAGGAAACATTGTACCCAAAAATCTACATCAACAAAAAAATATAACCAAATAACAAATTAAACCAAACTAATTCCTTGATTAATCATAGCGTGCCGTGCAGCAAAATGTTTGATATCAATCAACTAACAAGCTACAGATTAAATTGGATCAAGACTACATTTTCAATCAGATAATAGGGCAAATATACATCTTCATTAAATCTCTTCCATTCAACCTAGAATATCCAAATCCTTTCACCCTGAAATCCCAATACTTCATAGTTTTCAATTGCACAACCAACAAAATATGAGAATTTACAAGATCTTTAACCAAAAATATCATCTCCATTGAACATCAATCTAATGAATACTCCCCCCAAATCAACCTCATCAGCCAAAATTATGATAATTAATTTTGTACCCATGAAATTCAATCCAACCCCAGAAAAAATCAGACAAATTTCTAATCTGGGTATTCGAAACAAATATTGAAATGCATCAATTAAACTATAAATCAATAGAGGAGGAGAGAGAAACCTGGCAAAGTTTGGCAGCAAGACTAGCAGCTTTCTTGGCAGCAGCAAGCTCCTTGTTGTAAGACATTGAAGAATTGAGGAAAGAGAAAATAGAGGATTTGGGTTTATGATTGAGAGTAGGAATCACGAAGTGGGTTCTAATTCTTAAGCTGCTTAAGCCTATATACATGGTGACTTAGATTGTTCTCTTACCAGTTGCCACCTTCTCTAGTCTAACACTCTAACATACATTTAAATACTCTAATTCTCTGAATAGATACTCCTTCGTCTCAATCTTTTAGCCCCATTGCTAATTTTAGGTTAAATTTTTAAAATTTTATGCATATAAATTTACGTTATTTCTACTAAAGGTGATATATTCATATAGGATCTTATTTGATTCGTTTCATTATACATTTAATTAATAATCAACTTTTTATAATTTTTATGCATATGAATAGGGAGATATAAACCTTGTAAAGCGTGTTTTGGAGATTGCGAAAAGTCCAATAAGGCGAAAATAAAGGGGCATGGAAAGTACCTTGTAAGAATCATTTGATTTATAATTTCAAGATAATAGGGAGTACGTATCAACTTTTGATCATATTTACATATCGGAAGTTAGACAAAAAAATTATTGGTCAAAACTATAAGGAAGTCATCCTACTCAACAAAGGCTTTCATAAGCCAACTCAGTCAGCGTATACGAACAAGGTCATTTGCGAGTAAAGGAAAGGATAAGGGAATCTCACAATCCTACCCCAAGTTGTAAGGACTAAGAACGATCCAAAAACAAATAAAAAAAATAACTTTTTGCCGATGACGGCCTTGCCCTTGGCCGATGGTGGTTTTTTGGGATGAGAGAATGTTAGAGTAAGGTAGAGGGGGGAATAGCATGGAATACAAGTGAGGATATGATCATCAATTCAAGTCAAAATGCGCGAGTTACTCAGTAAAACATGAGCGTCGTTTAGCTTTATTTTCACTTATACATTTAATCATCATCGATATTAACTTTATTGTGACATATAATGTAAGAATTTAATGCCTTTTTTATATTATACTGGATTTATATACTTGAAAAGAAATCCATAAGTTAATTGGAAACAATAAACGAACAATGCAAGACTAGATTAAAAACGCTACATACAACAACTAAGTAGATGTACCAAGGAGATGTTAGCCTACATTGGACGTTTATGGAAATAAGACGGTTGGGGAGGCAACTAGAGATTTGCAACATTCTCAAGGTGCAGAGGGAGCAAGTGCAGGGTGCTCATCGGATAGCTAATGCCTTTAGGACTAGATTAGTTACTTTTTCTAACATTTTGTAGTTTTATTTGCCAGTTTTGCTATTGTTAAAAAAAAAAAAAAAAAAAAAAAAAAACACTAATTTTAGTACATATTTCCTCCGTTCTTTTTTACTTGACCCACTTTGACTTTTACACTATTTATCACCTCTCTTTTGACCGTCTTTTGTGAATAATAGATAAAGAAAAATAAACATATTCATGTGGGATTTTTTTGAATTCGCCTCATTAAGTACTATTATAATATATAACTTTTATAATTTTACTTGTGAAAAATTAAAGTTATTAATCGTTAAAGTTTTACATTGGCAAGTGTAATAAAAGAAACAGGTGAAGTAAAAAAGAATATAGGAAATACTAATTAATACTTCAATTTGTATAGTCCTTAAGCAAAACAAAGCATAACTGAAGAACATCCTCTCTAAACTAGTACATCAAATAGATTCTACTCAAACCCCCTTTATTTATTAATACACTTACTTTACTCATAGTCAGATTAGTCTTATGCCTCTAGATAAACTATGGGGCTTGATTTAGCATACCACATGATAAGCCGGTTTGGCTAGCTAGTTGAACTCGAAGCCGGTCACATACAATAGATTTGATTGTTGGCCAAACATCCTTGGTAGGATTAGGCGCCCCATGGTGCCACTGTAGAACATGGTTAATCTTAGGCTCGAAGTCTCACAAAATACTTAGTTGTGGTTACCTCATCATCATGACTAGCGTCGCCATAGTGCCATTGTAGGACATGGTTAGGCTTAGGTACAAAGTCTAACAAAATATTTGGTTGTGGTTGCCTCATTATCTTGACTAGCCGCGCCATGGCGTGCCATTGTAGGACATGGTTAGGCTTAGGCTCAAAGTCTTTCACAAAGTATATATAATTGGGGCTACCTCATCATTTTTTGTGATGAAAATTGTCTCGGTAATGTTTTGGGCTGAATTTGTATACATGATAGATACATACTAGTAGCAGTACTTCTCAAAGTTTATTTTACCAACAAAAAAAGGTCTAGAAAAGTAAAATTTAACGTTTAACAAAAAAAAAATTCGCTTTACATGCCAAAAACATGCACCTTAGAAGTTTTGGGATTATTTTGGTCATTTGAATCCGATTTGACGTTAGAATTGAAATAAATTAATCGTAAGTGCCTCATTTTTGCGTGTTTCACGTAAATCGAGGTATTTTTTAATAGGCAAAAAGTTACATTTGTGATAATTTTTTGTCAATTTTGACATCAAATCAGAACCCCCTAACCATAAAGACCATGTCTTTGGCACAAAAATCAAATAATTTTTGAAATTCCGTTAGATTTAATGGTTTTTTTTACGGTAGATGGTGAAAAATAATTTTTAGAATTTTTTGTGTGGTAAAACCGTAAAATATAACTTTGAGAAGTTTTAATGGTAAAAAAAAATGGTAAAATTTTTTCGTAGATATGATTAGAAGAATAATATAGTTAGGATTATTAATGTTAAGATAATATTTAGTGAATATATATTTAGAATATATGGTTATGCTAGTATATCTTTTACGAAAATTATTTCCTATCTTATAAGCGTAAATTTTGTATAAATACTCTACATATTGATCAATAATAATCAAGACCATGCTATTATCTAACTTAGCTTGGAACGAATGAAATCCATAAGTTGGAAACAACACTGAACATTGCAAGACTAAAATAAAGACGTTACATACATACAACAACTTAGTACTAATCCTTAAGCATAACAAAGCATAACTAATTAATGAACGTTCACTCTAAATAGTACATGAATAGATTTGAAACAACAAACCCCCTTTATTTATTAATAGACACTTACTTAACTCATAGTCAGATTAGTCTTATGCCACTAGATAAACTATGGGGCTTGATCTAGCATGCTACACCATAAGCCGGTTAAGCTAGTTGAACTCGAACCCGGTCACAACAGATTTGATTGTTGGCCAAACATCCTTGGTAGGATTAGCCGCCCCATGGTGCCATTGAAGAACATGGTTAACCTTAGGCTCGAAATCTCTCACAAAATACTTGGTTGTGGATACCTCATCATCATGGCTAGCCGCGCCATGGTGCCATTGTAGAACATGGTTAGGCTTAGGCACAAAATCTTTAACAAAATACGCGCTTGTTGTTTCCCCATTTTTCGAATTAGGATTCGTATCCAAGTATTGCCACTGATTAGGCTTAAACTTAAAGTCTTTCACAATAGAATTAAATTTTTGTACATCATTAGACTTGAAGCCTACTAGGGCTTCAATTGCTTTCTTCCCCCAATACTCGCCGGAGTATTGGGGTCCCTCGTTCGACTTTATGCCTGAAAGGGTTTCAATTGCTTTCTTTCCCCAATACTCTCCCACGCTGTCGTCATTACATCCATGAGCTACGTTGACAACCTGTATGTATAAATATGTAAATCTATAAGATGTCTCATTTTAATTGTCAAATTTTTCTAATTTGCATTTCTCAACAATTTCTATTAATCAATCAAAAAGATAGGAAGCATAACGATAAAGGATGTGGCTTAATTATTTTTTTCAATTTTGGAGTACGTTTGACAACTAATAAAAAAGGAAGTCCCAGTTTCTCATAGTGAGAAATAAAATCTTGTTTCTCACATGGAATTTTTGTAAATAAACCAATAATTTTATTCAACTTTTTTCAACTGTGGATCACATAATAATGAAAAAATTATTGATTTATTCACGAAAATGCCCCATGAAAAACTAAATCCGTTTCTCACTATGAGAAACAAGGAATTTCCCCTAATAAAATGAGACGGTGAGAGTATAATGTAATAACTCATTATATACTCCGTATTTTAATAAAAAAAAAAAAAAAGAAGTTATATAATTCAACAATGAAAGAATGAAAACAATCATCTAACATGCATTATATCGTTGTATTTAAACAACTAGCCATTTTTTTTATAAGGGTTTTTTTATGAAGGAAGTACTTCATAGTTAACTGCAAGAAGAAGCCAATAATCCTATACAACTAACTAGAATGGTATTCACGCGAATATGTTCTCAAATAATGTATACAGAGTACTTCAAAAGAAGAATAACCACACCTAAAGATAAAAAAATCAAAATAATAACAGAGCACATTGTACAAAAAAAAAATGTATCAAAAAAAAAAATGTTGTAGTATTAAAAAAAGCTAGAGAAGATAAATGCTTACCAATAGAAGTGCCAGAAGAAGAGTAGAAGTAATAGATAGCTTCATTTTTCTCAAATGTCTCCAACAACTTGTTTTGTATATTCCCTAGCCAAGCCACTTGCATAAGAGCGATATATATAGACTTATTTTACATTATTTTAAATAGCTTAGGTTGTTAGCTTGGAGCTTCTCTTTTAATTTTAGAGGATTCTGAAATCGATTATCATCACTCAATCTTGTAGCTATCTAAACACTAAAATAATAATAATAAATTATTATAAAAACACGGCTTACTAAAGCTACACAGACTAAGAAACTTTCTCTGTTTTTTTATACTTAACCTGACCTGTTTCATTTATCAAGTTTGCCCATGCAAAACTTTAGCCATTACTAACTTTAATTCTCCATAAGTAAAAATTATAAAAGTTATATATTATATATGATAGTACTTATTGTGACGATTCTAATAAGGAGATCCCACATGAATATGTTTTTCCTTGCAAATAATACACAAAATACGACCAAAGAAGAAATGGCGATTAATAGTATAAAAGTCAAAGCGAATCATATAAAAAAACGGATAAAGTATTAAATAAATCTTAGCGAGTAGTTTATGAACTTATCAAAATAGGAATAAACTAGATTATGAAACATCCATGTAAAACATGATCAAATTTCGAACATCTTTATGAAACTGAGAAAATATAAATTTTAAGAGCCAACAGTTGATGCAAAAATAAGCTATTACTCGTTATTTAAATTTAGATTTTGTATATTCGCTTTATTCATTAGTTATATTGTTTTATAAGTAGGTGATAAATGAGCCAATTAAATTTTAATACTTTACAAATGTTAAGGTGTTTCATCTCATCATCTGTTTTAAGATTGTAGCACTATTTCTTTCTGATTATTAATTAATCATACTACCTCGTACTGTCGTACACACGCAGTATATAGGATTATAGGAAGGTTGGCCGGTTATTGTTTACACCTTATCGAGTCCTAATTTTCTTTTAAATATGTAAGTACTTGATGAGTCTACCCGTTCTTTAGAAAGGCGGGTGTACGTTAATTTATTGTAAAACGAGTTAAAGTTATGTTAAAAGTATTTAAGGTTATCCTTTATACTGTAAAAGTTATTATTTTTCTATTAATAAATTCTATCTTGCAAAAAACTTGTAATGTATCATGAATTTATAAGTAATTACACATTAAAATAAAATTCAAACCTACGATAAATTAAAAATTACCCTTTGAGTGGTAAAAGTTACCATAAAAATAGTTAAAGTTATGCTCAAACTGACGGTTTTACAATAAAATTAATGTACACCCATTGTACACAAGACTTATTGTAACCAAAATGGATTGGTAACTTGAAAATATACTCCTACTTTTTTGTCTTAACTCTATGTATAAAAAGTAGAGGTGATCAAAGTTGGTTCGGTTCGTCGGCCCGGCCCGACCCATCCTGATTTTGGGCAGATTTTTTGGCCCGAAAATTTTTTTTTTGGGCGGGTTTGGGAATGTGTTTTTATGCATATTTAGTTGATTTTTTTGGCCCGATCATTTTGTGCGGGTTTGGACACAAAAAATTTGGCCCGAAGTTTGGCCCGACCCGACCCGAGAATTGGGCACAACTTTTTAGCTTTGGCCCGGCCCGGCCCACCCAATGATCACCTCTAATAAAAAGGATATTTGTTTTTTTTTTTTTTTTTTTTTTTTTTTGAAAAAAGTATATTTGTTTTATTTACCTTATGTTCACTTGTATAGTATTATAAAATTAAAATCAGATAGAGACATAGAGTTAATAATAATAAGATAAAAAAAAAGTTTAAATAGATAAATTCATTAAATATAATAAGAATTAATAAGTGCTTATTCAAATTCATTTAATAGCTAAATTATAGCAAAAAAATTATGCGAGTAAAACACACTCTAAGCTTAGACACATGCAATGAACATCACAGAGATCGAATTGGTAAGAGGAGTTTACAAACCATTTAATGGTTGTGTTTCTCAAATAGATGTTCAAAATAATATGGGACCAATGAAAAGTGTCGAACATCACATGCGTTACTTCCCTCAATTATATCTCTCTCTTGCATTGCATGCTTTTATTTTTGGATAGAATTCTTTCAAAACTTGTTGGAAACAGACTTATGACAATGCCAAGTGTTAAACCTAATCTAACCATGATTTAAAAGCACGAATTGTAATGCATGACTGCTCAAAGACATGCAACATGCAAGACATACAATTGGACAATTTTAATCAATTTAATTTCCAAAAACTAAGTTCTCAAGCCTTTAACAATATCAAGACAATCCTGACCGTTAATAATATTATCCAAACAATCTTATCTTTGAATAATCACCAATAGCTATGCATGCGCATGCACAATAATAGGCTTATAGTTATGCATGGTATATTGACATGCAAGACGTACATTTGTCATTGCTTATCTGTTTTTCTAAATATTTTTTTTTTAATACTTTACATGATATGTTTCTTTAATATACTACCTCCGTCACATATTAGCTGTAATTTTGAAATTATTTATATATCACAAATAATACCCTCAAACTTACAACTAATATGTATTGAATCGGAGGTAGTATAAGAACAATAAGAAAATTTTCGGTTCGATATTACAAAATAACCATGGAAACTATAATGTGTTGATGTGGTGATTGTGTGTAAGAAAAAAAAAATTTGAATATTATAAGAAAGGGTAAAATGGAAAAGTGTAAAGGAAAGATGGATATTAAGGTAAAGTATTAAATTAAGTTTGTCAAAAATATAATAAGGTAATAGTGTAAGGAAATACAAAAGATAGTGATATTCATAAATAAACAACTTTATCCTTTTTATAGCGATGTTACCAACAAATAACTTTATCTTTAATACCTAAAAGTCAAAAAAGTCAAGTTATAATTAACTATTTCATTTTATTTGTCTTTGTTACAACATGTAGAAAACTGAAAAATGCAAAAATTAATTAAAGTCTAAAAACAAAGATGGAGTAATAAATATTGTAGTTTTTAAAATTTTACTTCACAAGATAAATAAGATCATCTTTATATTGGAAGTATAGGTCATGTGTTACTTCCTTTATTAATTTTGCATTTTTTTTAATTTCAATTTGGGATAGAGTTATTTCATTACTTGTTGAAAACAGACTAATTACAATGCCAAGTTAAAACTGTTATTCATGCACATGCATATTGATAGGCTAATAGTTATGCATGCATATAGATAAGTACACATGCAATTCATACATTTGTCATTATTTTTATTTTATTTTTTTAAAAAAATAGATTCAAACCTAATTTTTTTTGTAAAGCAAACATTCCACATTAATTGATATAGACTATATAGCATAGAGGTATATAACATATAAGAATTATAGTAATAAAGACTGTAGAATCAACTATCTTAAATGGTAAAACAAAAAAATTGAGGGGCCAGGACGTGGTACACATGAAATTGTAGATCAATTCCACTAGCCTTTTATGATCAAGGACTAAGTTATGTTCAAAACAATGAGATCGGATCAATTATATTCCTAATTTTTTTTTTAAAAAAAAAAAAAAAAAAAAAAAAAAAAAACTGGTTATAAACAATTATAAGATTTTTTTTACAAAAAAGATCTACAATTGAAATAAATTACTTAATGTGTGAAGAGATTTGGAGTAATTTAAGTACACATATTTATATAGGTCAATATGTATACATATTAGATGTGCAATATATGTGTAATATAAGTGTGTATGTAACATATAAAGGGAGTAAAGGGAGCAAACTAGTCTAACAATCCTTAATGATGCTCCGCTATAAACCTTAAAACTAGGAAGACATTAACATAAGTTTCGCCATCATCTATCTCTCTCTCACTAAATTGTCTAACCATCTAACCATACTTAAATAATAATGCGTCTTTAATGCACACATCTAAGGAACACCTTTTTAAATTTGCCACGAGTAACTTACATAATATTGATGGATTGATGTATATGCTGCATGAATAAAATCTAACTATTTACCAGTCAGTCTTACATAATGTATGAGTACATGATTAAAAATAAATAAATATATAAAAAATTAAAAAATCAATCAGTATAGTATGATTAATTAACACCCTATTTTCTTTAACTTATTTTGATTTCGATTAGAAAAAATAAAACAAATTTAATTAATTTTTTTTATTTAAACATATTCAAGAATAATAATTTTGAACAATTTCTCACAGTCACAAATAAGACATTTTTTTTAACAAAAATATAAGTTCAGGTAACATAAACCCAAAATAGTTAAGATGATTTAGAATGAACCGAAGAGATTAGAGCCTAAAGATGTCTTAAAATCTTCTCTTTTAAATTTACTTACCCCAGTTTTTTTTTTTTTTTTTTATTCATATAGTGTAGGCCCCATAATTGTTTAAATATTTACTTCTTATCCGCTTATAAATAGCGACGAACCCAAGTTTTTGACGAATGTACTCAAATCATAAGTAACATCCACAAACATCTCATCCAATCAACCAACAAAAAATGAAGATGTTTTTGGGTTTCCTAAGTTCAACCGTACTCTTTTTGGTGGTAATTTCTCTACTTCGATACTAGCTTAAATTGATTAGCAATATAAATTGCAAGTTTTATTTATATATACAGAAAAAAAAAAAAAAAAAAAAAAAAAAAAAAAAAAAAAAAAAAACCTCCTTTCATTTAGGAAAAAATCCATATTTTGAATTTTGGACATAATTTAATACATATATACTATATTTATATTCGAAATGTTATTGGATTATTATTAGATTAGTCGCAGTGCATATTTTCATATTACCAACTTTTTATAATTCCGCTCCATCCATGCATGCAGGTTGTGAGTGCTAGAGATGTTGATTTCAGCAAGAAGTCCGAGTTCAAGGAATCAGACTATGTGTTCTTCAACTACAACGACCTCAAGGTCGGGGCGAAAATGCCGATTTACTTTGGTGGTGCATTCGATGCTGAAATCCCACGTTTTCTTCCTAAGGAAAAAGCCGAGATGATCCCTTTTTCATCCCAAAAACTCCCATTTCTTCTTAACTATTTTGGTTTCCAACCCGAATCTCCTCAAGCTAAAGCCATGGAATTCAGTCTTAAAAAATGCGAGGGTGAAATTCCCGACGCTAAAGGAGCCAAAAAATGCGTTACCTCTTTAGACTCTATGATCGATTTCGTCCGTGAAACCTTCAAAAGTAGCACTACCAATAACGGTGGTCAGTTGTTTGACGATCTTAAGGTGTTGAGTACAAGTCCACTTCCGAAATCAGCCAAAGTATTTCAACCTTACACAATCATTGAGCAGCCAAAAAGAGTCCCGAGCCCTAAAATGACCGCGTGTCACATGCTGACTTATCCTTACGCGGTCTACTATTGCCATAACCCTGACCCTGAAAACCAAGTGTACGAAATCAGTTTGTTGGGTGAGGATGGTACTCGTGTTAACGCGGTTGCCAGTTGCCACATGAACTCGAATGCATTTGACGCTAATCTCGCCGTGTTCCGTATGTTCAACATTGCACCCGGCTCTCCAGTTTGCCATTTCCTCTCTTCTGATGGCCTGCTTTGGGTGCCTGCTAACCCATCCTCGATCTAATAGTACTACAGCTGCTACTGCGACTACTAGAGTACTAGTACGAGCTCATTAATGAAGCAAGAAAGATGGTGTTTAACTTTCTAATGTCTTTAACTTGGCCATGAACTAGCAAGTATAGCTAGTGTTTAATTGAGTCCTAAGTGTATGCTTTTATTATCGATCAACCGTGTACTTATTATCGATTAATAAAATCTTGTTTATGTACTGTACATGCTTTTGTGTCTTATATTCTTACACTATCTGGCTTGCAATTTAAAGTTACGAGATAAGTGCATAGGTTATACCGTTATAGTTAGTTATTCCAAAAATTAATGCACAAAAGTTATACATTGTAAAGGTCCAATTTCCAATCACACACAAACATGGCTTCATTCTTAAGACATTGCAATGATAGAGCTACACGCCTACACATGACAGAAGTGACAGAGTCAGGATTTTGAAGACGGGTGTTGACATTATGTCTATGGAGTGTCAGAACTATAAATTACTATACTCCATATAAACATGTATATTGTTAAAAGAAAGAAAAAGAATTTCGATTACAAGCTTTAATCTTTCAAATATCTTTAACTGTTAATTAATAACTAAAAATTATAAATTTACTATACTACAAAAAGCATAATCAAGACGAATCTAACAAAATTGCATATGACACATTACTCCTTAGCTGTAAATCACTAAAGTCAATCAAAATGAAGTATGTAAATAGTATAAAAGTCAAAGTGTTACAAATGTAAAAAAAACGAAGCTGGTATTTAAAGTGGAATATGTACTTGAATAGTACTGTTAAAATCTTACAAGTAAAAAAAAAAAAAAAAACTGAGCAAGTAAATTAAGTATATAGGCCGGTTTTGAAACATTGTTGGATTACTGATGGAGTGATGGTTACTAACATAATAAAACAATCTTTATCAAGTGACGAGTATCTATTTCGTTGATACAAAATTTTCTTCTGTGAATCTTGCACATTTTAACCCACCAAATTTGAATCTTGCACATATTCGAGGAATAACTGTAATAAAAAATTGGGATGTGTTCCTGCATTAAGTTAAAAGATAAAAGAACGGATAAAGTAAAAAGATATTTCGTATATTCATTGCTAAATAGTCACAAAACTCTTCTTTTTCGCAAGTTCAGAATGTTTGCAAAACCTCTAATTTTCACCTATAAATAATACTTTCATCAATAGCACATACACATTGATTTATTCAATTTCATACAACTCTTCTAAAACCACCTCCAAAACTCAAAGTGTTGCTATTAATGAACCAATTCAACCAAAACTTGAAAGTGTGGATGCATCATATACCCTCCCCATATCCTGTGCGAAATATTCCACTTAAAAGTGGGGGTGATTGAGATTTGAACCCGTGATCTTTGTGTCACGCTGACTCTGATATCATGTTAGTGAACCAAAAGCTTAACTTGATGGTTGAAGCGCAAGAATATGTTATACTCTTATCGGCTGCAACTATTCAGAAATGAAGTAGTTACTCATATCAGAAAAAGATCAATTTCCCGGGATATTAAATAGGAAAATTTAACAACAACAAACCAACCTTTGTTCCATTCTCCCAAACTGAACCAACCTTTAAATCTTCCAAAAATAAACACAAGTTTGTATTTTTTTCTCTCTTAGTAAACCCAAATGACTTGTAACCTGAATAACCGGTCACTTTGTTTTATTTTCCTTTAATTATCCTATTATCCTTTTTAAGTTAATAAATAAAATAAAAAATTAAAAAAAAAAAAAACTCAAACCCCCAATCCACTGCCAGCCCCTTATTCCCTGACCCACTGCTAGCCACCCCTCCTCCCTTCATCTGACGGCGGCCGACGCCCAACCCACCCCCGGTGCTGGTGACCCCACCCTCGAAATCTAAACCACCTTCTCGAAACTACCCTCCTACACCACAATTCACCCCTCAATTATCCACCAATCACTACCCTGTCGCAACACGACAATAGTCCACATCCCCCGCCTTACCACCATTCACCACACACTCCGTCTCCAGCCACAAGGCCCACAACCCAAAATCGCCACCAATTACACTCAACAACACCACTAGTTAGCCACATCTTTCACACCAATACAACATCAATATTGCAGCCACGCATGCAACAACCTACATAATCAACACTCTAATCTCCCTCATCTCACTCTGAACCATCACCTGTCGCAGGCTAGCAACACCTCAACCAGCAACGTACGGACTCCCTTGCAATCACAAAATTAGAACCAAGCAAATCCATTTTCACACAAAGAACCTATCTCAAAGTTCGGTTCAAATCCTGCTTTCAACCGAGCCCCATTGCTTCCATTGCTGCCTCCTAGTTGATTCCAACCAGGGTCAAGTTCAAATCCTAACGTGTAGGGCGTCGGCCGCCGGCAGGGGAGGGGGTGGCTGGTGGGGAGGGGGACTGACAATGGTGGTAAAATAAGGGTGTTTTTTTTTAATTTTATTATTAGCAGATCTTAAAAATAAAAATAAATAAATTTTTTCAGCTATCAGAATTTTCAAAAATTAAAAATATTAAAAAAAAAAAAAAAAAAAAAACAATGAGCACATGACACATAGATTACAACCTGGTATAACAGGTCAAGTGACCTGCTTAATTTGCTACGGGAGAAAAAATACAAACTTGTGTTTATTTTGAGAAGATTTAAAAATTAGTCTATTTTAAAAAAACAAAGCAAAGATTAATTTGTTATTGTTAAATTTTCCTATTAAATATAATATTGTCACGTGTTACTTCCCTCAATCATATCTCTTGCAATGCATTATTTTTTCATTTTATAAGACAGAATTTTTTCACTACATGTTGAAAACAGACTAATGAAAATGCCAAGTGTTAAACTAACCCATAAACTTAAATTAGAATTATCCATCTAGCCTTTAACAATGGCAAGAATCCTGACCCTTAACAATGTCAGTAGCTATGCATGCACATGCATAAATAGGCTAATAGCTATGCGTGCATATATGTACACATGCAATACGCACAATTGTCATTATTTTATTTTTTTTAATACTTTTATTTTATTTTTATTTTTTGAAATTAAGTAGACACTAATCTTAATCAAGTGTGTCAAATAAAGTGATACGGATGGTTTAAAAAAAAAGTTGTATTCGGTCTTAATAGTATTTGCTTATCTACTATTATTACTAATTTAATAATTAATGATGATTAGATTTAACCACGAAGCTATGAACTTAACTTTCGGCCTATATATTTCCATCTAGTAATATGTAACTGTAGAGGGATACCATTAAACATTGCATGATTTAGTAATAAATTGAAACTTACTTCAATTCATATCTTCAACTGTAAATATTGCTAATTATCATAAAAAAAATAAAAAAAATTAAAACATGAAAATTATAAATTAAATTGAATCAAACAAGGCTCCAAATAATTATATTTTTCCGTATGAAAAAATAGGGATTATAGTGTGAATAGTGTAAATTTGGAAATGTTTCAGCTTAGAAATGAACGAGTATATAAAATGGAGATCATGAGATCAAATCTTAAACAAAGATTGTATTAAGGTTTATTACTTCCTCCGATCCTTTACTTTTGCCCCATTGTCATTTTTTCAGGTCAAACTTTGAAAACTTTGACCATAAATTACCGTTAGTTTATAAAAAATAATATATTTATGAGTGGTCTTGATAGATTCGTCTCATTATATATTTTATTAATATCACGTTTTTAAAATTTTTACGTGCACAGTCAAATGGGGAAAAAAACATAAGAGATAGGGGGAATAATACACTACAATACGAAATTATAATAATCACTTATTAGTTATTACTTGACACACTTTAGCTAGACACACTAATTGCACTCAATGCATCAACTTTGACATAGACTACACATTATTTTAATCTCAATAACACATCTGTACTCAAGATTAGTCAGATCAAATCAAATTAGACCAGACTAAAAAAAAAATATAGATCAAACCTTAATATTGACATACCAAGTATACCTTTATTAAGATCATGCACTTGTTAAAAATCTACAAAGTACTTTCCTTTTTTTTCTTTAACCCAATTCCTATAGTGTAGGTCCCATGCTTGATTAAATTACCAAAACTTATCCGCTTATAAATATCAACCCAGTTTTTGACGAATGTACTCCAAACTTAAAACTAATATCCACAAACATCTCACCCAATCAATCAACAAGTAAGATGAAGATGTTTTTGGGTTTCCTCAGTTCATCCGTTCTGTTTTTGGTGGTAATATCTCTAGCTACAAACTCTTAGTCTTACTTATATTGTTGAGCAATGTATATTGTACATATTATAAAGAAATATCAAATAATGTATACTTTAATTAATTACGTACCATATAGTAATATATGAATGCATGCATGCAGGTTGTGAGTGCTAGAGATGTTGAGTTCAGCAAGAAGTCTGAGTTCAAAGAGGCAGATTATGTGTTCTTCAACTACAACGACCTCAGAGTCGGGGCGAAAATGCCGATTTACTTTGGTGGTGCATTTGATTCTGAAGTCCCAAATTTTCTACCTAAGGATAAGGCTGATATGATCCCTTTCTCTTCCCAAAAACTCCCCTTTCTTCTTAACTACTTCGGCTTCCAGCCGGAGTCTCCTCAAGCTAAAGCCATGGAATACAGTCTCAAAAAGTGCGAGGGTGAAATCCCTGATGCTCAAGGAGCCAAAAAATGTGTTACCTCATTGGACTCTATGATCGATTTCATTCGTGAAACCTTCAAAATTAGTAATACCGGCAATGGTGGTCAGTTGTTTGATGATCTTAAGGTATTGAGTACAAGTCCACTCCCTAAATCAGCCAAAGTATTCCAACCTTACACCATTATTGAACAACCAAAAAGAGTACCAAGCCCTAAAATGACCGCTTGTCACATGTTGACTTATCCTTACGCGGTCTACTATTGCCATAACCCTGACCCTGAAACCGAGTGTACGAGATTACTTTGATGGGTGAGGATGGAACTCGTGTTAACGCTGTTGCTAGTTGCCACATGAATTCTAAGGCTTTCGACCCTAACCTCATGGTCTTCCGTATGTTTAACACTCAGCCAGGTTCCCCTGTATGCCACTTCCTTTCTTCTGATGGTCTACTTTGGGTACCTGCTAACCCATCCTCGCTCTAGAACTACTGCTACTTCTACTAAGCGTTGATTTATGATGCAAGAAAATTGGTACTCCACTCTCATCGTACTCGGATCCCCTCTATCGAGTAAGGAAAAGTTGAACTGTTAGTGTTGTTTGTTCTTGTTTTAACTTTCTAATGTTTTAACTAAGTCATGTAAAGGACTCCCATAAACTAGCAAGTGTAGCTAGTGTTTATTGGGTCCTAAGTATCTGTTTTTATCGATCAGATGTGTACTTATTATCGATTAATAAAATAAAGTTTGTGTACGTACTACTGTGTCTTCTACCTATAGACTCATATTTAAAGTCATGAGATATCGAGTTATAATCAAATATAAACAATCTGATTTTCATTAAATAGAAAATCAGTGCTACTGATAACATATACAGATACCATCTGAAATCTACTCGTAGACACAAGCTGTCCAAAATGATTTATACGAAGTATATAAGTTTGTACACTAATGCAGGCAAAAAGTATGTAATATAATTATATACAAACTAAATGATCTGCTGAAACGACGATGTATTACCTGATCTAGTGCAAAATCTCCCAATGCAAGCTTTGCGGCCAGTTGACAGATTACCAGTTTTCCATGACAGGGCAATTGATGCAGGAAAGCAAGTACTGGCTAGCAACTTTCGTAGATGAAATGCTTCTGTATATAGCATTATAGCTCAGGCCGAATATACAACAAGAGATTGTGTCATTCGTTAAGTTTAAGTCTTCCATTAGCAAATCGAAACCAATCAATATACATCTCTAGCTGAATTTGCTTACAGTATTTCACATTAATCAGTTCTGTAACCCGGGTTTGACATTATCATCCTTACAAAAACTGTTCCTGTTAGTATTTATCATGTTATTTCTAGCTTCAGACTACCACAGGCAAGCCTGACTTCATCCATTACTGATTTCTGTGGTTTCAGACCTGCAGCCTTCATTTCGTACAAGGTCTTTAAGGCGTCAATGTACAATCCATGGTGTATAAAACCAGTAACCATCGCGTTCCAACATGCATTGTTTCGTTTCCTGCGATCCATCCTGTCAAAAACTCTCTTAGCATCATTCAACAATCCACATCTCCCATACATGTCAATAAGAGCACACATCACAAAAACATGACTGTCAAACCCGAGTTTTATAGCATTGGCATGAATTTGCTGTCCAAACAATCCACCATCACCTACTCTTCCACAAGCCTTAAGAACAGTAGAGAATGTATACTCGTTCATCCTCACTCCGGCCTCGCCCATCACCCGAAAAATTCTTATCACCTCTCCAAAACATTGTTCGCGGCCATTGTTAACTATAACACCAGTCCAAAGCACAGTATCGCGATGATCAACTACACGAATAAGGTCAAAGAACACATGATTAGCCTCCATTAAACACCCAGATTTTCCATAGAATTCAACCAATGCAGTGTCAACAACTAATCCTCTATCATAACCCATTTTAAGCATCCACCCATGAACCATCTTCCCCAAATCAACCTCCTTTAAATGTACACAAGCCTTAAGAAAACTAACCAAAACAACTTCCAAACCCGAATCAAACTCCTGATAAACAAAACATCTATACATCTTCACAAACAACCCTAAAGCTTCTTCAAAAAGATGATTATCAATAAGGGCAGCCATCACAATAGCCAAAGAAATAAAATTTCTGCGCGGCATTTCATCGAACAGTTGGTGTGCAACATCAAAACAACCACAACTCACAAGCATCAACAAAATTCGATTAAGCAAGCACAACCCAGTAGACCCCTTCAAAAATCTAACAATTCCAGCGTTTTTTCTTCATGTGAGTATAAATTGCTGCTGCTTCAATGGCGTCTCGTTTTTGGGTGCATTCAACAACAAGAGAAACATAAATATCTGGGGTAACAACTCCAAGACCATCCATTAAACGCAGAACATCTAAGATTCTGTTGTTATTATTGCAAATTTGAGTATTCCGTTGTTGCGGCGGCGGTGAGATGGTGGTGGTTTTGTGGAGCGGTTGTCGGAGAAGGGTGGTTTTGGTGGGTTTGAGAATTGAAGGGTGGTGTTGTTGCTTTTGGGTTGGGTGAATGAATCGAGTAATGGAAGTTGTAGTTGCAATTTGGAGGTGAGATTAATGAGTTCCATAATTGTCCACCATTTGCGTTTGGGTTCAACCGTTCAAGGGATTGTAATTGTAATAAGAAAATAAGATGTACTCGAACTCTTTATACTACGTAGGTGATAAAGAATGAGTGAATACGTCTCTGCGTATCAATTCGAGTATTTGGGTTGGGTTAATTGGTCATGTCACTCATGTGGTGACAATGTTTATCAAATCAAATTTAGTTTTGATTTCTTCGAGTTCAAACAAATTCACATGAAACAAAGGAAGATGTATTGAGGACTACAAAGAAATTTAAGTGATTGTAGTTGTTTTAATTGCTCCATAGTCTTAGTTTTAAGTCTTTGTAATTACTCCGTAGTAATTATGAAAACATTTTCATGGAATTCATACATTTCTTGAATTACTAAATGTTTTTCTTTATTTATTTATTAGTGTTACTCAGTATGTGACTTAGTGACTGTGTCATGCTTAATTATTTCTAACAAATATTTTATGGATGTAAGCCATCTTCTAGTGTGTGATTGGAGATTGGACATTTGCAGTCCATAAACCTAACTTTTATGCATTGATTTTTGAAAAAATGAACAATAACCAGTCACCACTACCCAATGTTTGTTAATCGATTGTGAACGAACTACACTTGATATCCCGTAGCTTTGATTTTGCAAAACAATCAAAGATAGATAATATAACACCCAATACCCCAATAGGAGGATGTCCTAGTTACTCACTGTGAGAAACATAAAATGTTTTTCACAGTGGCAATTCGTAAATAAAATGTACCACTTTAGTCACGATGATACGAAATTGTTCAGGGTGGTACAAGAAATAGATGATAAAATTGTACCACTTTAGTCACGGTGGTATAAAAACCCCTGTGATGAGAAACATGGATTTAGCGGTAGTATAGTACTTGCACATAAACAAGCTAAGATTTTATTAATCGATGATAAAAACATACACTAAGGACCCAATTAAACACTTGATAGTTATGGGAATCCTCTTCATAGCCAAGTTAAAGACATTAGAAAGTTATAAACAAGAACAAACTACACTAACATAGAGTGGATCTGAGTCCGATGAGAGTGAAGTAGCATCTTTCTTGCTTCATTAAAGAAATCGTACTAGTAGTCGCAGCAGCAGTAGCACTATTAGATCAAGGATGGGTTAGCAGGCACCCAAAGTAGGCCATCAGAAGAGAGGAAATGGCAAACTGGAGAGTTGGGTGCAATGTTGAACATACGGAACACGCCAGATTAGCGTCAAATGCATTCGAGTTCATGTGGCAACTGGCAACCGCGTTAACACGAGTACCATCCTCACCCAACAAACTAATTTCGTACACTCGGTTTTCAGGGTCGGGGTTATGGCAATAGTAGACCGCGTAAGGATAAGTCAAGCATGTGACACGCGGTCATTTTAGGGCTCGGGACTCTTTTTAGCTGCTCAATGATTGTGTAAGGTTGAAATACTTTGGCTGATTTCAGAAGTGGACTTGTACTCAACACCTTAAGATCATCAAATAACTGACCACCGTTATTGGTAGTGCTACTTTTGAAGTCGATCATAGAGTCTAAGGATGTAACGCATTTTTTGGCTCCTTTAACGTGGGGAATTTCGGCCTCGTACTTTTTAAGACTGAATTCCACGGCTTTCACTTGAGGAGATTCGGGTTGGAAGTCGAAATAGTTGAGAATAAAGGAGAGGTGTTGGAATAAATAAATTGACAATTAAAGTGGTAGTTTCGTAAATAAATTGTACTACTTTAGTCATGATAATGCGAAATTGTTCAGGGTAGTACAAGAAATGAATGATAAAATTGTACCACTTTAGTCACGGTGGTACAAAAACCCTTGGTAAGAAACATTTTTTGTTTCTCACAGTCAGAAACATCATGAATTTAGCGATTAAAATGAGACATCTTATATATTTACATATTTATACATACAGGTTGTCAACGTAGCTCATGGATGTAACGACGACAGCGTGAGAGAGTATTGGGGAAAGAAAGCAATTGAAACCCTTTCAGGCATAAAGTCGAACGAGGGATGCCAAAACTCCGGCGAGTATTGGGGAAAGAAAGAAATTGAAGCCCTAGTAGGCTTTAAGTCTAATGATGTACAAAAATTTAATTCTATTGTGAAAGACTTTAAGTTTAAGCCTAATCAATGGCAATATTTGGATACGAATCCTAATTCGAAAAACGGGGAAACAACAAGCGCGTATTTTGTTAAAGACTTTGTGCCTAAGTCTAACCATGTTCTACAATGGCACCGTGGCGCGACTAGTCATGATGATGAGGTATCCACAACCAAATATTTTGTGAGAGATTTCGAGCCTAAGGTTAACCATGTTCTTCAATGGCACCATGGGGCGGCTAATCCTACCAAGGATGTTTGGCCAACAATAAAATATGTTGTGACCGGGTTCGAGTTCAACTAGCTTAACCGGCTTATTATGGTGTAGCATGCTAGATCAAGCCCCATAGTTTATCTAGTGGCATAAGACTAATCTGACTATGAGTTAAGTAAGTGTCTTTTATAAATAAAGGGTGTTTCTAGGTTTTTCTGGTGTCCTACGGGAGAGTTACAACTCCGAGACTGGATCCACGCGCTGTACTGCAAAACAACAGAGATTCCGGGGTTGGGAGCTGCGCCTCCAACGATCAAGTTAGTACTTGTATGTAGAGAGGGTGATCTGGTTCCTCTAG